GAAAGCAGCGTCACAGGTAGACAGGGTGGTGAAGAAGGCATTTAGCATGCTGGCCTTCATCGGTTGAGGCAGTGAGTATAGGAGTTGGGATGTTATGTTACAGTTGTATAAGTCGTTGTTGAGGCCGCACTTGGAGTATTGTGTACAGTTTTGATCACCCTGTTATGGGAAAGATATAGTTAAAATGGAAAGTGTGCAAAGAGGATTTTTGAGGATGTTGCCAGGACTAATAGGCCTGAGTTAAAGGGAGAGGTTGGCCAGGATAGGACTTTATTCCTTGGAACGTAGGAGAATGAGAGGTGACCTTATTGAGGTGTATAAAATCATGAGGGGCATAGGTAGGATGAATGCATATAGTCGTCTTCCCAGCGATGGGGAATTGAAAACTAGAGGGCGTAGGTTAAATGTGAGACGGGGAAGATTTAAGGAGTACCTGAGGGGCACATTCTTCACACAGAGAATGGGCTGCCAGAGAAAGCGGTTGAGGCAGGTACAATAGCAACATTTAAAAAAATATTTGGATAGGTACATGGATGGGAAGGGTTGAGAGGGATATGGACCAAATGCGGACAATTGGAACTAGCTGAGTGGGCACCATGGTCAGCATGGACCAGTTGGACTGAAGGGCCTGTTTCCATGCTGTATTACTGTATGACTCTGACTGTAGCTAGGAAAATGTTGGTATGTAGGCTAAAGATGGGGTGGGGGAGCCCACAGAGAGACTGAAGCAGTTGAGCTGACAAAAGAATGTTAAAGGTCAGCCTGGGAGAATGAAAAGCTACTGATGGGGATTGTTAGTGGCTGACAATAGGTTTTTTGTGGCAGCAGCCCATGTGATGACAATATCTGCTGTGTGGGAGTTGGGGTAAGGATATGGAAGAAGGTGCTTGGGCCCTAAAATGATTGAACTCTATTCAGTTCTAAAGGCTACAGAGTCCCCAAGTGGAAAATGAGGTGCTGTTCTTGCAGATGACAAGGTGTAGAGCTGGATGAACACAGCAGGCCGAGCAGGAAAGCTGACGTTTCGGGTCTAGACCCTTCTTCAGAAATGGGGGAGGGGAAGGGGATTCTGAAATAAATAGGGAGAAAGGGGGAGTAAAGATTCCATTCCATTTTCTCAGTTCCTCTGTCTCCGTTGCATACGTTCCGATGATGCCAACTTTGACAAGAGAGTCTCCAAAATATTTTCTGCCTTCCTCAACCAAGGATTCCCCAGTGTTGTTGATGGGGCTCTCAACTGGATCCAACACACCTTCCACCCTCACCCCCCTCTTCCCTCCAGTAACAATGATAGGGTTTCTCTTGTCTTTACCTACCATCCCACCAGCATCCACATCCAGAAGATCATCAGATGCCATTTCTGCCACCTCCAGCAAGATGCCACCACCAGACACACATTCTCCTGCATTCTTTGTCTGCCTTCCCCAGGGACCGTTCCCTCTGGGACACCATGTGGTCCACTCTTCTTTCACTCCCAATATACCCCCACGGCACCTTCCCCTGCAACCGACGAAGGTGCAACACCTGCCCATTTACCTCCTCCCTCCCCAGTATCCAAGGGCCCAAACATACCTTCCAGGTGAAGGAACACTTCACCAGCACTTTCCAGAATCTAGTCTACTGCATTCACTGCTCACAATGTGGTCTCCTCTATATTGGGGAAACGAAGTGTAGACTGGGTGACTGTTTCGCAGAACATCTATGTTCTGTCCACAAAAAAGACCCTGAGCTTCCAGTTGCCTGCCACTTTAACACACCACCCTGCTCCCTGGCCAACATCTCTGTCTCAGGCTTGCTGCAGTTTTCCAGTGAAGCTCAACGCAAGCTGGAAGGACAACACCTCACTCTCCCTCTGGGAACTCTGCAGACCTCTAGACTCAATATCGTGCAATACTGGCTCCTCCACGTAATAATTTTAGAGCCTGAACTCAGCTACAACCACCTCTTAAGAAAGGTTACTGGACTGGAAATGTTCACTGTACTTTCTCTCCACAGATGTTGCCAGACCTAATGAGTTTTTGTTTCTGATTTCCAGTATTGGCAGTTGTTAGATTTTTTTTCTAACATTCACAGAGAAGTATCAATAGGTTAAGTAAGTGGTGTAATGTGGGAAAATGTGAAGTTCATTTTGGGAGGGAGAACAAAATCTACAACTCAAAGCGACTCCAGTGTACCTGGTTTATGAAAGACAGAATGCTGGTACACATGCAGCAGGTCATTAGGAAGGCTGATGGAGTGTTGGCCCTTATTTTAGAGGGGTTGGAGCATAAGAGTAAGGAAGTCTTACTGCAAATGTACAAGGTGCTGGTGAGACCACATCTGCAGTCCTGAGAGCACTTTTGGAGCCGCCTTTAAGGAATAACATCATTTCATTGGGGACAGTTCAGAGAAGGTTTATTAAGATGATCCCTGGTACGGAGGGAATGCCTTATGAGCAAAGGCTGAACAGGATGGGACTGTACTCACTAGAGTGAGAGGTGATCTCAGAAATAAATAGGATTTTGAAGCAGCCTGACAGGGTAAATGCTGAGAGGGCATTTCCCCTCATGGGACAGTCTAGGGGATCAGAGGGCATAGTCTCAGAATAAAGGAGCACTGATTTAAGGCTGAGATGAGGAGGAATTTCTTCTCAGAGGGTTGAGTGTCTTTTGGAACCCTTTGTCACAGAGAACTATAAGGCCAAAGTCCTTGTGTATATTTAAGGCTGAGATAGGGTATTGCTCAAGGGAAGCAAGGGGAAAAGGACAGAAAAGTACACGAGCAGTATCAGATTAGCCATGATCCTTTTGCATGGTGGAACAGGCTGAAGGGGCCACACAGCCTAAACGTGTCCCTGTTTCTTATGGTCTTATGTTCGTGACATTGAATATTTTTCTCATCAGCCTGGGTACACGTTGCCTGAATCTCCTTGGCTTCCAGCAATTTATGGGAGATAACGAAATGACATCTGACCTTGTGGATGAAGGAAAAGAGCTAATTAAAAGAGGTGAAGTGTTTTTATCAGAATCATCATTGCAGTATCTCAGCACATTTTTAAAATTCAGCTCAGGGAAGGATCAAGGGTTTTCTGGTATGTGTGTCTGTGATGGAGATTGTGTTTAAAAGGGGACATGTTTGTACATTGTCTTCCTGGGAGGCTGTGTTATGCAATCTGGTTAACATTGGCTCACTGATACATGCTTAATGTTTCTGTTGCAGAGAAAAGGAAACGGCAGCGACTGGAAGATGGGGAGAATCGGCGAAGGGTGAGAAGTGGGTCCTTGACACATTAAACCTGCTTGTTTCTTTCCAGCTTATGTTTTCTCCCTTTATCTTGGGTATCATTTTGTGTTTTTTGGCAGGAATGGAAAGAACGCTATGGAAACCAGAAAGATGATTTCACTCGGAACAGGGGCTCTCACTCTGAAATACCTAGTTCACTGCATGCAACTAAGCGAGGTAAGACATTGTCCTTCTGTTACTCAACTTCTCTTGGTTTCTGTAACTTTTGTGCTTTTCTTTCATCTCCCAAATACCTAAACCACACCCCCGCCCCAACCAACAACCGCATCTATTCAGCTGAACTCATGTCAGTGTTAACTGACATCTGCTGATCACAAATACATTGTTTTTTTTTAGCTTCCACAAAGTACTCCCGCTGGAACAGTAGGTCAGAAAGGGACGGCATGGAATTGCTGCACGATCCAGAGCCTATGGATTTCAATGCTGACACTTTCAGTGATGATGGCCCTGATCAGAACTCTGACCTGGGAAGGTAAAGAACACAGGAACAATACATTGTGGGAGGGGGTAACGTGGATTCCAGGCAGCACGGAGGTGGGTAAGAGTTAGTGGCTTGTTCATACAGGTAGCCTTCTGTTATCAGTTTCTTTTGTGAACCTTGGAGTTGTTTGTGCTCTCTACTGACCCTGTTCCTGTTAATTTAGGTACCAGCCAAGTGGAAGGTATCTGTCGATGTCTCGCAGCCGGATCTTTGATGATATCTGAATGTTCATGGATTTGCATCTGCCCTCACTGCCACATCTAAGAGTGGAAATTCTTTGTTGGGAAAGGCCCTACCTGCTCCCTTCACAAATACTACAGTGACTGGACTTCAAAATGACTTCACTGGTTGTAAAAATGCTTTGGGATGTCTTGATGTCATAGAAGGTTCTTTGGAAATACAAGTGCTTTTTCATTCCTTCCAGTTATACTGATATTTCCATTTTGTGCATGGGCAGTGGGCCTGGGTTCAGGAGTACATTTTGCAGAAAGTATTCCTGTTAATTTTGCTTTTGCACTTTTCTGCCCCTGGAATGAAGGATGCATTTTGGGCCAGTAATCAGATTTCTGTATTCACATCTCTGGGTGTAAAGAATCACTGTAATTTAATCAGGTGTATTTAATAAATAGTGAAGCAAAACCAGTGCTGTGTTTCTGGTGTTGGTTGGCATTCCTCTCCTGCAGCTGAGAGAACAAGCAGCAACTGCAGACCTTATCCTAAGGACCAAGTATACCCAGGATATAAACCCAATTGTGCTGAAATGCCATCTAACATTATAGTTAACAGCATTTCTCTCAACTTTTCACACACATTGTTTGGGCCTGGTTTTACCTTGGCTCCTTACTGCAGTACGGGAAATAATAGGTGACACTGGTGAGAGTCTGGATACAACTGTCATGATAGTTCTGACTAACACACACTGAACTTGTTCCCCAAACCTGGCAGCCTTTGAGATACTAATATTGAACATGTGACCATACACTAAGGCTGCTCTCTAGTGCTTTTAAACAGATGTGCAAAGGTTCCAATTTCCTTGTTTGGCTATTCATTTTCAATAGATCTCGCTGAAGATGGTGTAGTTTTAATCAATCAATCAGGTTGTGCACAGATGGGGCATTAATGAAAAAAGCAACAAGAGTTTAGTACTTTTACAGAATTTGTTACCAACATTGAGGAAATTCAAACCTCCTGCACATTCACTTGACATAAAAAACACAACCAACTGGAAACAGACAGGTAACAAAGAGAGGTAAAAAATTTATTGCAGTATTTGTTCCGCCAGTTTGTTTTGGCTGGGGATCCCTTTTTTTCTTGTTTTGCCAGAGTGACCCTAATACATTTAAATCTACATTTACAAAACAAAAAAAATCAAATAAAATCTCCCATGTAGGTCACAGATACTGCATGCTTTCATTAGAATAAATTATATCCAGCACAGTCTGGCATTGTACATCCTGTAAAATAACTTCTCTCTGGAACTTCTGCTACACTAAAGAAAGCCATTGCTGCTAGGTTAAACTCCAAGAACACTTTATTAAGAACATTAACAGACTAAATTCCAACATTCACTTAACTTTTATTTTTAAACAGAATTCTTTTTCCAAGATATAAACAATTTTTTGTTTTGTTAAACTATAATACAGTGGGAGTTAAAATCAATCAAGAAGGTTCGGCTGTACAACAGCGAAGGAAGCTCCCACAAGAAAATGGTATCTGACAATTGCTCTTTCTTCTCGTTTGTCTCCTTGTCTGAATCCTAGTAGAGTTCTGCAGACTGTGAAACCATTCATTTTATAAGTGTTGTCAGAATATGGTCTTTTAGCCCCAAGTTTATTCTCACTGCTGTGAATTTGGCTGCAGTTTTAGTTGTGTTAGCAGGAAGATCCTTCCTTTGCTGCATACAGCGATCGTAAAGTCTGAACAACTTTGTTAGTCAGCTTATTTGCACTTGTCAGAGCAATTTTCTTGTAAATGATGTCCGACTCTTTGATACTGTCAACCCAAGGCACCAGTTTGCGGCCCTCTCTGCGTTTAGCCTCTGTCCAAGAGCCACTATATGAACCGGCCATCCAATGAACACTGAAACCACTGCTGGTCTTTTCCACAACTCTCGCAATCTGTGGCCGGTCTTTATATTTAGGGCAGCAGATGGCAATCACATCCATTACTTCCACAGCTTCATGCAGCTGAGCTCCAAGATCCCCTGGCTCAGACAATCGTTTAGATCTTCTGGTTGCCTTAGAGATGATTGGAAAGAGAAGTGATTAGTTAATGGACCAGTAGCTAAGTGATAGCTCTTGCCTTCAAAAGATACAGGCAACTTGTACCTAAGTCAAACATCAAAAGATGCAGGTGACTGTCTAAACATCAACACTAGACCCCAAGAAGGGAACCAAGTCTGAACAGCAGCACTGGGCCCTTTGGAAAGTACAGGTAACAGTGCCTGAATGACAGCAGGGCTTGAGAAAGATCTCATTCCTGGATGGCTGGGCAAGCTTGAATGAGGATGGGGGAAAATAAGAACCAGAAGAATACAATTTACCAAATTTCAGATTTAGAGTAATACAAATTGTTCTTCATTACGTCCTCTTGTTCCAAACAAAAATATTAATAGGAACTTTGACTGGGTTTGTTTTAACTGGAATACAGGAGGTTGAGGGGCACCCTAATAGAAGTTTCTAAGATGCAAATGGAATGGATAGAGTGGAAAGTATGAGGCTTTTTCTCAGGGTGGAGGGGTCAATTGCTGGGGGCACAGGTTCAAGGTGCGAGGGGGAAATTTTAAGAGATTTGCGAGGCACATTTTTCACACAAAGGGTGGAGAGTGCCTGGAATGCATTGCCAGAAGTAGTGGTGGAAGCAGACAATAGTAGCACCTGGACAAATACATGAAAAGGAAGGGAATAGAGAGATATGGATCCTCTAAGTGAAGATGGTTTTAGTATGGAGGGGCAAAATGTGTCGATGCAGGCTTGGAGGGTCGAAGGGCCTGTTCCGGTGCTGTATTGTTCTATGTTTGAACAGGAATAGACCTTGCTCACGATTCAATGCACTAATGGCTGATCTGATTGTAGCCTTCATTTCACTCATGCCCATCTATCATAATTCTTGACTCCTTAGCAATCAAAATTCAGTGTAACCTTGCCTCAAACATATTCAATATCCAAGCCTCCATTAGTCCTTGGGGTACAGAATTTTAAAAGATTTCTATTACCCATTAGTGCTGCTCTCTCTGAGCCAGGAGGTCTAGGTTTAAGATCTACCCACTCCACAGATATCTAATAACATCTCTGAACAGGTTGATTAGAAAAATAGGTAACGTAGGAATTAGAAGCAGGAGAAGGCAATTCAGCCCTTTGGGCCCACTCCACAATTTAACATGGTCACGGCTGATCTCATCCTGGTCTCAACTACACTTTCCTACCTGCTCCCCAGAGCCCTTTATCTGGCTTTTCCTCAGAAACATATCTATTTCTTTCTTGAATCTGTTGACTGATTCTGCCTTCTCTGCAGTTTGGGTCAGTGAGTTCGATAGATTCATAACCTTCTGAGAGATGTAGTTTCTCCTCATCTCAGTTTTGAACCTATGTTCTCTCACTCTATATCTACGCTGTCTTGTTTGAGAATGTCCCTCGAGAAGGAACACCTGTTCAACATCCACCTTATCAATCGTTTAAGTAAGGAGACCAAAATTGAACACAATATTTGAGATGTGGTCTCACCAGTGCCTTATATAACTGTAATATTTCTTTACTTTTATAATCCAGTCCTTTTACAATAAATGCCTGGATTCCATTTGCCTTTCTTATTATATGCTGCACCTGCAGACCCACTTTCTGCGATTCATGCACAATGACACCGAGATCCCTCTGCACTGATACACTTGTAACATGCTTCCAATTTAAATAATAATTTGCCCTTTTGTTTTTCCAGCCAAGATGGATAACCTCGCACTTATCCAGATTAAACTCTACCTGCCACATTCTGATCCATTCTAGCCTAACAATATCCACCTGTAAACTCTACCTCATCACTGCTTGCGTTCCCACCTATTTTAGTATCATCTGCAACCTTTGCTACGTTACATTCTGTCCTTGCAGATTATTATGTAGATTGTAAATAGTTGAGATCCAAGAACCGAACCCTGCAAATCTAAGGAGCAGCTTTGGAACTAGACACCTAAGAGTCTGACTTCAGTGCAAGTTGCTGGAGGTGATTCTGAAGGATAGAATTTATCTGCATTTGGAGAGGCAAGAATGATCAGGGATAGTCAGCATAGTTTTGTGCAAGGGAAATCACATCTCTCAAACTCAATTGAGTTTTTTGAAGTATCTAAGAAGAATGACGACAGCAGAATGGTAGACATTGTCTACTAGGACTTTAGTAAAGCCTTTGTCAAGGTTCCACATGGTAGACTAATTAGTAAAATCAGATCACATGGGATTCAGGGTTAGCTTGCCGACTGGACAGAAAATTGGCTTAATGGCAGGAGACAGACTGGTGGAGGAGGGTTGTTTTTTGGACTGGAGGCCTGTTACCAGCAGTGTTCAATAGTGATCAGTACTGAGTCCACTTTTGTCATTTATGTAAATAACTTAGATAAAAATAAAGAAGGCATGATTAGTAAGTTTGTGGATAACACCAAAATTGGTGGTAAAGTGGACACCGAAGGTTATCTAAGACTACAAAGAGGTCTTGATCAATTAGGCCAATGGGCTGAAACGTGGCAGATGGAGTTTAATGTGGATAAATGTCAGTAATTGCATTTTGGTAAAACAACCAAGGGCAGGGCTCATACATTTAAAAGTAGGGCCTTGAATGGTATTTAGAACAGAGAGACCTAGTGGTTTAGGTACATAATTCTTTGAAGTTTGCATCACATGTAGACAGGCTGGTTAAGAAGGCATTTAGCATGCTTGCCTTTATTGCTCCTTTGAGTATAGGAGTTGGAACATCATATTGAGGTTGTAAAGGATGTTGGTGAGGTCTCTTCTTGAATACTGTGTCTCGTTCTGGTCGCCCTGTTACAGGAAGGATGTTATTAAACTGGAAAGGGTTTAGAAAAGATTTACCAGGATGATGCCTGGAATGGAGAGGTTGAGTTATAATGAGAGGCTGGGACCTTTTTCCACTGGACCGTAGGAGGGTGAAGGGTGGCCTGTAGAGGTATACAAAATCATGAAGGATATAGATGAGGTGAGTGAAAGGTGTCTTTTCCCTAAGATGGGGGTACTTCAAGACTAAAAGCATATTTTTAAGGTGAGAGGAGAAAGATTTAAAAAACGACATGAAGACAATATTTTTACAGAGAGTGTTCTGTGTGTTAAATGAACTTCCAAAGTATAGAGGATGGAGGTACAGTTACAACATCAAATGTCTTTTAAATAAGTACGTGAATAAGTCATGTTTGGACGGATATGGGCCAAAAGCAGGCAGGTGAGAATAGTTTAGTTTGGCATTATGGTTGGCATAGACTGATTGAACTGAAGGGTCTGTTTCCATGCTGTATGACCCCATGGCACCCCAATAGTTACGGTTTGCCTTTCAGAAAAGGACTAATTTATCCTGGCCCTCTGCTTTCTATCAGTCAGCCAATCCTCTATCCAAGCTAATACTCCATATGTTTAACCCTTGGGATCTATTCTGGATCAGCCTTTTATGCAGCACCTTGTCAAATGCATCCTAGAAGTCTAGATATACCATATCTGCTGGATCCCCATTATCTACTTTGAGGATATAATCAGCAAAGAACTCCAGCAAGCTTGTCAAGCACGACTTGCCCTTCATGAAACCACGCTGACACCAGTGAATTGAGCTTTGTTTTCCCAAGTGTTCAGTTATTGCCTCCTTTATGATTGACTCCAAAAGCCACCCCATTATAGAGGTCAAATTAACAGGTCTAAATAAAAAATAAAAAAAAAAATCTGAGCAGATTGATTAAAAATATGTATCAGTCATTAAAGGAAACCAAAAGTCAACACAGTACTTCAGGTGCAGCCTCACCAATGTCCTGTGCAGGCGTGGAACGACTTGTCCATTTAATGCTCCATCCATCTTGCACTAAAGAAAAATATTTCATTTGCTTTCTTAGATTCAATCTATATGCTAATTTTATGGGATTCACCTGTAAGGATACCACACCAGTCCACTCTGCATTGAATCATTTTGCTATGTTTCTCCATTTAAGTCATTTTCTGCTCTTGCTAAATGAAGAACCTGACATTTATTCTGCAATAAACTCCATCTCCATTTGCCCATTCAGTTAACCAAACTAAAGCTCCAGTTATGCCCAAGGGCATGAATTGCAAAAAAAAACAAATGAACCAATTTGGTGCTACGCTTCCTGATGAACAATCCTAGAGTCACCTTATGAAATTCCCATAATTAATCAAAATGCTTGTCACTTTCTGAGAAAAACTTTGAAGTCAACGAAGTTCAGCTCGTAACAAGGTCAGTGGAGAGACACTTGGGCAATCTGGATAGGTCAGTCATACACAGCAAGGTAGGGCTGAATCCCTAAGTTAGACATATTGAGTTTCAAGTTCCAGTGAAGTTGGGGAATTGTCGTGATTTTTAAATACATACTAGGATTTATAACCAAGTTAACTCAGATGGGCAGGGCAAATGGGGAGAAATTGAACTCAAAAGGACGTCAATTCTGTAGTTATGTAGACCATGACACCAACTGCTGTCCGATTCCTTACCCCTGCAATGCCTCCACCTGCTCGCTCCTCTCCATCACTCTCCTCATCATCGGTTTCTGCATTGTTTTTTGGGCTGCTTCCTCCAAGAAGTGCATTGATTGCCTTATTACGGGCTGCAGTGCTAGCAGACACTTCACCATCTTCATCTTCTTCATCTGGATCCAAGTGTTCCATCAGCGTTTTGAACTGAAAGAAAGTCATCAAGAATGGATATATTAATTCTACAGACATGGGTATGCAGAGCATCGGTGTAAAATTTGCTGATCATGCAAAATTTGGAAATATAGTAAATAACAAGGACAGTCACACACTTCCAAGGGGAGTGAAGTGGGAAGACACATGGTTGGTGAAATTTAACAGAACTATGAAATTATTCATTTTGAGAACCAATAATAATGCAGCTTTTCACATAAATGGAATCCATTTGTCCTGTCTGGCCTTGGAAACCTGTTACATTATACTTGGAAAAGAAAGATTAGGAACGAAGCATCACATTATGAAGAAGCAGAGAAGGCTGATAAGGGCAAACAGAACCCGAAAGAACTGTGGACACTGTAAATCAGAAACAAAAACAGAAATTGCCTGTAATGCTCAGAGATCTGGCAGCATCTGTGGAGACAAATCAGAGCTAACGTTTCGGGTCCAGTGACCCTTCCACAGAACTGGGTTAACTCTGATTTCTCTTCACAGATGCTGCTAGATCTGCTGAACATTTCAAGCAATTTGTTTTTGTTTCTAATAAAGGGCAACGCTATTGACATTTGCCTGTTAATAAATTGAAGACTTCGATCAGATCACCTCTTAACCCTCTAAATTCTAGAGAAAGCAAGCTTTATTTTTAATAAAAACCAAAAGAACTGCGGATGCTGTAAATCAGGAACAAAAACAAAGTTGCTGGAAAAGCTCAGCAGGTCTGGCAGCATCTGTGAAGAAGAAAACAGAGTTAACTTTTTGGGTCAGGTGACCCTTCCTCCTTGTAGTTTAATCCCGGAAGTCCAAGTATTATTCTTGCAAACCCATGTTGTACACCCTCCAAGGCCTAAGGTGGGTGCTCAGGTTTGCTCACAGTACTCCAAGTAGGGTCTCACCAGAGTTTTGTATTACTGCAGCATAACTTCTGCATCCTTGCACTCTAGTCCCCTAGATATAAAGGCCAGCATTTCATTAGGTGCCATGACTACTTTCTGCACCTAGAATCATACAATTCCTACAGTGTGGAAACAGGCCATTCAGCCCATCGAATCCACACTGACCCTCCTAAGAGCATCCCACCCAGAATCACCCCTACTCTAACCCTGCAACTTCCATGCCTAACCTATCTAGCCTTCACATCCCTGGACACTATGGACAATTTAGCATGGCCAATCTACCCAACCTGCACATCGTTAGAATGTGGGAGGAAACCCACAAAGACACAGGGAAAATGTGCAAACTCCACACAGACATCGCCAGAGGCTGGAATCAGACACAGGTCTCTGGCGCTGTGAGGCAGCAGTGCTAACCACTGAGCCACCATGCTGCCCCATATTTGTGGCATTTTCAAGATTATGCCCTGAACCCTCAAGTCTCTTCAAACATACTCTGCATTTAACTTCAGACCACTGAGAAAGAACCTGATCTGCTTCAATTTGATCAATACTGGTACTCTACACTCCAATGGATATTGGCCAGACCTTCCTCAAAACAACCTCTTTATTCTTGGTCCTGTGGACATTCTGCTCTCAAACAGATCTATTGCTTTGGATACTATTGGCATCCATGAGATAGAGGTGCTGGTGTTCGACTGGGATGGACAAAGTCAGATTGATTGATTGATTTGTCATGTGTACCAAAGTACAGTGAAAAGCTTTGTTTATGAGCAGCACAGGCAGATCATAGTAGGCAGGAATGTAAAGACCAGAGGTTGTAAAAAGACTTATTAGAAAGAGGCATACACATTACGTTACACAGGGCGTGCACTAGGCGAGATCAGCATTATTTGAGGCTAGAGAGTCCAATAAGGTCCAGGAAGAAGCTGTTCCTGAACCTGCTGGTGCATGTGTTCAGGCTTCTGTATTTTCTGACTGAAGGAAGAGGTTGTAGGAGATCATTACCGGGGTGAGATGTGTCTTTGATGATGTTGGCAGACTTTCCGCAGCAGTTAGCCATGTAAATGGAGTCCATGGATGGAAGGTTGGCTTCCGTGATGATCTGGGCTGTGCGCACCACCTTCTGTAATTTCTTACGGTCCAAGCAGAGCAGTTGCCATAGCCGGCCATTATGCACCCGGACAGTATGTGTTCAATGGTGCATCTGTAGAAGTTGGTGAAGGACCTTATGGACAAGCCAAATTTCCTGAGCTACCTGAGGAAGAAGAGGCATTGATATGCCTTCTTGACCGTGGTACATACATGGGAAGTCCTGGACAGGTTGTTAGTTATCGTCACTCCGAGGAACTTGACGCTCTCCACCCCCTCAACCTCCGTTCTGCTGATGTAGATGGGGGTGTGTTCTCCCCCTTTCTTTCTAAAGTCAATGCTCAGATCTTCAATTTTGCTGACGTTGAGAGAGAGAGACTGTTCTCATTGCACCACATCACCCTTCTATCTCCCTTCTGTATTTTGACTTGTTGTTAGATATCTGCCCTACTACGGTGGTGTCATCAGCAAACTTGTAGATGGTGTTCATTTTGAATTTGGCAACAAAGTCATGAGTGTACAGAGAGTACAGGAGGGGGCTGAGGTCACATCCTTGGTGGGTGCCAGTGTTATTGTGAAGGAAATACAGTTACCTATCTTCACTGATTGCGGTCTCTGGGTCAGAAAGCTGAGGATCCCGCTGCAAAGGGTGGAGCCAAGACCAATGTCATGGAGTTTTGAGATCAGTCTAGACGGGATAATGGTGTTGAAGGTGGAGCTGTAGTTAATGAGTAGGAGTCTGATGTAGGTGTCCTTGTTGTTCAGATGTTCCAGGGATGAGTGCAGGGCTAGGGATATGATGTCTGCTGTGGACATGTTACATTGGTAACAGGGGATCAAGGTAAGCTGGGAGACTGGAGTTGATGTGGCAATGACCAGCCTCACGAAGCATTTCATGATTATTGAGATCAGAGATACTGGGGTGGTAGTCATGAAGGTACATTGCATTGTGTTCTTAGGTACGGGGATGATGGTGGTCTTCATGAAGCAGGTGGAGACTTTGGCTTGTAGGAGGGAGAGGTTGAAAATGTTGGTGGATACCTCCCACACTTGGTCCGCACAGGATCTCAGCTGGGGACTCCCTCTGGGTCCATTGCTTTCCTTGGGTTGACTCCCAGGAAGACCAATCTGATGTCTGCAGCGGTGACCAAGGGAACAGGTGTGCGCAGGACAATCGGGGCAGGCATTACCGTGCCACTGGCATTCTGCTCAAACTGAGCACAGAAAGTATTCAGCATGCCAGGGAGGAATGTGTCTTTGTCTGCTTCATTTTGTAACCCGTAATGTTGTTTAAGCCTTGCCATAGCCAGGAGTCTGTTTGGTAGGTCTGAGTCTCTAACTTGGTCCAGTGGTGCCTCTTGGCATCCCTGATGGTTTTGCGGAGGTCATACTCATATCTGGATTTTCTGTATTGGTCTGGGTCATGCGACCTGAATGCTGTACGTCTGGTCTTCAGTACAGAGTAGATTTCCAAGGTTCATCCAAGGTTTATTGTTGTATTGACTTCTTTGGTACGTAGTCCTCCACGCATTTACTAATTTGTCCATAATGTGGTGGTGAACTCGTCTAGGTTTTCCGCTGAACACTTGAACACAGTCCAGTGCACTGATTCCAAGCAGTCCCGGAGACAGTCTTCCACAACCTCACCTCAGCATATACTTCCTTTTGTGAAGGGTCCTCCCATTTCAGCTTCTACTTGTAAGCTGAGAGGAGGTCTGATTTTCCAAAGTGTTGGTGGGGATGGAGCAATAGGCATCTTTGATGAAGAGATAACAAGGTGTAGAGCTGGATGAACACAACAGGCCAAGCAGTATCAGAGGAGCAGGAAAGCTGACGTTTCGGGCCTAGACCCTTCTTCAGAAAAAAGGCATCTTTGATGGTTGTGTAGCAGTGGTCCAGGATGTTTGGTCCCCTGGTTGGACAGGAAATGTGTTGGTGGTACTGTGGCAGCACCCTCGAGGTTGACTTGGTTGAAGTCGCCAGCCACAATGAATAGGGCCTCAGGTAATTTCCTCTCTAGAGTGTTTGTGGTGGTGTAAATCACATCTAGGGCATTCTTCAAATTCGTATGGGGTGGTATGTAGACTGCGGTCAGGATGGTGGAAGTCATATCACAAGCTTTTGGAGTGCTGCTCCTTCACCAGGTGAAGCTTGTGATTTCAAATAAACCTGTTGGACTACAACCTGGTGTCATGTGACTTCTGACTTTGGATACCGTGGGAGGATGAACTTCCCTGCGGAAACAACAGCAATAGCCAGATCAGTGGGTATCATAATTGACTCTGTTGTACAGCAGGAAGTGTAGGCAAGCAGTAGTGATAGGGGTATCAGGGGCACAGACTGGTGGTTCCAGGATGGTGTGATGAGTTTTTACATTTTACAATCCAAGATGGCAGCGCTGGCAAGGAAGGCAGTGTTTCGGCTTCTGGCAGCTGCTTCCTCCCTTCTTTTATTACCCTTTTTGTCTTCTTCCTTGATTTCTTTGTCTTCTTCCTGTCAGTGACAGCAGAGGTGATGACATTACGGAGAGGAGGTGCTACAGCCGGACTCTTGGTAAAGAGGCAGCTTGGCCTGACGGCGCAGCCAGGGACTCTTGGTTGTGGTGGGCCTGGAGCAGGGACTCCAGGTATTAGCAAGGCAGTGGAGCCGGTGGCTCCTGGTGGCAAGTGTGGATTCAGCACGGGACCCAGCATCAGTGGCCCTCTGGTGGGTGGGCCCAGCGATAAAGAGATGGCTCTTGAAGAGTGGAGACTCTGATGTTGGTGGGTCTGGCGCAGGTGTCATTGGTTGACCAGCTCAGGGCTCAGGACCCTTGTGGAGGTGGTGGAGCAAAGATGGACTTTCTTTCAGCTTTGTCTTTTTATTCTTGAAGTATTTGAATGGCGACAGCTTGTGGTGACAGTTGAAGCTTTTCACTGTACTTTACGGTGTTGTCAACTGTAGAGTACAAGTGATACTAAATCATCTTTCATTCATTCATGGTGCCAGAGTCAAGGATGTTCCTGAGTAAGCACAGGATATTCTGAAAGGGGGAGGGTGAGCAGCCAAAGATCAAGGTCCATATTAGTACTTAGGACACAGGCAGAAAGAGAGATGAAGTCCTGCAAAGTGAATTTAATGAGAGGTAGGATGTTGAAAGCAGGACCTCTAGGGTTGTAATCTCAGAATTACTCCCTGTGCCACATGCTAGTGAGGCCACAAAATGGAAGGTAATACAGGTGAATGCTAAGGAGCTGGTGTAGGAGGGAGGGCTTCAGGCATCTGGATCATTGGGATCTCTTCCAGGGGAGATGGTTTCAGTACAAGGAGCACACGTTGTATCTAACCTGGAAGGGCACCAATATCGTTGCAGGGAGGTTTGCCACTCAAGAAGGTTTAAACTAGTGTGACAGGGGTGTGGGAAAGAGAGCAGCAGATCAGCATGTAGACTGATTAAGCAGAAAGCAACGGTTAAGTCAAATAAGTCTAAAAGGAAGAACAGCTTAATGAACACAGTGGGGCTGGTGGTCTGAAGTATATTTATTTTAATGCAAGGTGCATAACAGGTACAATAGATAAGCGTAGAGCATAGATTAGTATATGGGACTATGGCATAGTCATTACAGAAACTTGGTCGAGAAAAGGGCAGGACTGGCAGCTCAACATTCCAGAGTTTAAATGTGTGTCAGCTGTGATAGACAGCGATGTACAAGAGGTGGGAAAGTTGCATTATCAAGGAGAATGTCCCAGTTGTACTAAGAGAACATCTTGGAGGGCTCATCCAGTAAGGGTATTTGGGTAGAACTCAGGACTAAGAAAGGTGCAATCATTACGAATGGGTTACACTATCAAAAGCCCAACACAGTGAGATAGGGGAATAAGATATGTAAGCAGATCATGGAAAGATATAAAAGCAACAGGGTTGTGGCACTGGGTGATTATAAACTTCCCTAATATTCACTGGTACAGCCCTGGTGCTAGGAGCTTGGATGAGGCAGAATATGTTAGGTGCATCCAGGAGGGCTTCTTGAAACAACATGTAGGTGGTCCAACTCCGGAAGTAAAAACAGAAGTTGCTGGAAAAGCTCAGCAGGTCTGGTGGCATCTGTGAAGAAAAAAAATCAGAGTTAATGTTTCGGGTCCGGTGACCCTTCTGAGGACCTGAAACATTAACTCTGATTTTGTCTTCACAGATGCTGCCAGACCTGCTGAGCTTTTCCAGCAACTTCTGTTTTTACTTCCCGATTTACAGTATCTGCAGTTCTTTCGGTTTTTATTTATCCGAGGTGGTCTTGGTTCACTAACTTGATTGAGATTTTTGACCTTTGATAAGGTCTCAGGTAGGCTGGTCCAGAGGATTAAGTCACATGGCATCTATGGTGAATTAGCAAGCTGGATACAAAATTGAAAAAAAACTGCGGATACTGCAAATCAGAAACAAAAAACAGAAATTGCTGGGAAAATTCAGTAGATCTGGTTGCATCTGTGGAGAGAAAACAGATTTAACACTTTGGGTCAAGTGACTCTTCATCAGAACTCCTTCTTCACGATTCCGAAGGAGGGTCACTAGACGCAAAACATTAACTCCGCCTTCTCTCTAAAGATGCTGCTAGACCTGCGTGGTTTTTTCCAGCAGGTTCTGTTTTTAGTTTGGATACACAATTGGCTTGGTCATAGAAGAGAGACGACAACTGTGGAGGGGTGTTTTTCTGACTGGAGGTCTGTGACCCAGTGGTTCTTCTGCAAGGATCAGTGCTGGGACCTCTGTTGTTTGTACTATTTATCATGATTTGCATAAAAATACAGGCGGTCTGATTGGTAAATTTGCAGACAAAAAAATTGGTGGGTTGTGAATAGTGAAGAAGATTATCAAAGGATACAGTATGATATGGCTCATTTGGAAAGTTGTGGAGAAATGGCAGATGGAGTTTATTCCACACAAGTGTGAGATGATGCATTTTGGGAGGTCAAATGTAAGAGGAATGTACACAGTAAATGGCAGAAACGTTAGGAACATTAATGTATAGAGGGATCTTGGGGTGTAAATTCATAACTCCCTGAAAGTGGCAACACAAGTGAATAAGATGGTAAACAGGTAATATGGCATCTTGCCTTCATAGGTCAGGGCACTGATTTAGTAATTCATGTTGCGGATGGATAAAAAACTGTAGTTAGGCCACATATGGAGTACTGTGTGCAGTTCTGGTCACTACACTACAGGAAGGATGTGGAGGCTTTGGAAAGGGCACAGAGAAGGTTTACCAGGATGTTGCCTGGATTGGGGTGTATTAGCTATAAGGAGAGGTTGTACAAACTTGGATTATTTTTGCTTGAGTGCCAGAGGCTGACGAGTGACCTGATACAAGAATATAAAATGATGAGAGGCATGGGTAGGGTGGATAGTCGGAGTCTTTTTCCCAGGGTAGAAATGTCAAATACTAAAGGGGCATTGGTTTAAGGGTGAGATGGGGAATGTTTAAAAGGAGACATGAGAGAATTTTTTTAAAAAAAGAGTGTGGTAGGTAGCTGGAATGCAGTGCCAGGGGAGGTAGTAGAAGCAGATATGACAGCAACGTTTAATAGCCATTTAGACAGACACGAATGAAACAAAGTGGAGGGATATGGGCCAGGTGTAGGCAGATAGGATTAGTTTGGAATGGCATCATGTGTCGGCACAGATATGGTGGGGTGAAGGGCCATGTGCTGTACTGTTCTATGTGGCAGTCACTGAAGAGCCTTCATTTGTTGGCTAGACCTAATCGCCCTTGAACTGAGTGGCTTGCTAGGTCATTTTAGATGGGGGTCTTGCATTGCCCTAGGCCAGACTGGCTAAAGTTTTGCCTGACTTCCTTCCCTAAGGATATTAATGAATCAGTTGGATATCTGTGACAATCCATGATCGCTTCAAGGTGGTAATACTGAAAACTGCTTTCAATTCCAAATTTATTAACTGAATTGAATTCCATCAACTGCTATGGTGGGATTTGAATCCATGTCCTCACAATGTTAGTTTCACCCTCTGGATTGCTAGTACAGCAATATTTCCACCTGCATGTTTTTGAGCCCACCCTCTATCCATGTTAACAACCATCAACAATATCACGAGCTCTTGTGTAGAAAACGTTTAACCCAAAAGATCCTAAAATGCCAAGATATAGGACGAGAATTAGGCCATCAGCCCACTGAGTCTGCTCTACCATTCAATCACGGCTGATATGTTTCTCAACCACACCTACCTGGCTTTCACCCCATAACCTTTGATCCCCTTACTAACCCAAAAACTTTCAATTTGTCTTAAATACACTCAATGACTCGACCTCCTGTGTAGCATCTTAATCAATGTCTTTTGAAAATGCAAACACACTACATCTGCTGGTTTACCTTCATCTAGCCTGCTTGCTTTGTCTGAAAAGAAAAACTAACAAATCCTCGACTTGATGGTTTACAATACTGTTTCTGCATCTGGTTTGGTCATTACAGAATATACAACACCAGCTGCTAACCAAAATTATACTGTCAAAAGGACAGCAACTTACCAAAAGGTGCTGTTGGACTGCCAAAATTAATTTATTTATGGTAAATGTAGAAGGGGCTGGTTCTGTGCAACTAAAATAGAATCTTAATTTAATGGATGAAAATATCATTACGCAAAGTTTTCAATAAAAGGCTGTGACTTACATCCAAGTACTGTTTGACGATATTTCTCTTCACTGTTTCTGTTATTTCTGCATGTCCTACTCCATTTCTCAGGAAATCCAGTGTTTGCCTGGGGTTAAAGTGCACTCCTGATTTCCTGTTTACTGCCTTGTCATACACTTTCGCAGATTCAGAAGGAGAATATTTTTGGATTTTACTGGTGAGAGAAAGACAAACAAGATTGGTGAGCAAAGACTAACAACTGTAGGCTCAAAGTCTCAAATGTTGAGAAATATTCCCGAGAACAAGTAAAGCTGGTGTGAGTGAAGATTTGTAGCAATAATTTGGCAAGTGTGAAAAGTATAGATCAACATCATTTATTATGCATAAACAAAAGGCTTGGGGGAAAAAAAAAATCACCTGTCTGAAATTACAGAACCAAGTGACAATTTATGCAATGGCACTTATGATTACTCATATCTTCTTGTTGAGGTTAAACAGAGATCAAGGACAAGCCTTCAGAGGGCAATGCAGCATTCAGGTTGATCATGTGACATGAGGCATTTTTCAGTGGCTACAATCTTTGTACACAATGACCCAGATATTTCACTGGTCAGAGCACTGTTGGAACAACAGAGACTAGAGCTGCAGTCAGGATCATGTGTAATCCCTGGTGTGGCTCACACTGTGGGAATTGCACAGAAACGGATTTTCTGATGGGCAATACCCCTGCATCTGGAATCCTCTGAAAAACTCCATTAAAATCAGAGGTTTCAGAGAGCTCTAATTCACTCAAGCTTAATAGTTACCCAAGAAAACCTTGAAGGACTGAAAATTTACACCAACTCCTGTGTAATGATTAAGCTGACACAATTACCTTCCCAAGCCCGTGTCAAGCCAGGTGTATTCTGCTTTTGCCATCATTCTCGCAGACCACCCTGTCTTTGTTAGACCCAGCATAACGTTCCCCGCCCGTCCTGGAGCTGACACCTTCTTCCACAAGCCTTCGTGGTTGAACTTGGCATCCTTCACTACCAACTTCCCTAACCCAAACTTGGTGGCAAGTGCACCACTCTGCCCCCACCAATCTAACTCAGAGGCAATATAATCAACTTCCCCATCTCCCTACATGACCCACATTAAGCACTGATCCAATTACCCTTTACACCTGAAGCTAATGATTCTGGATCATTTGCTCCTGAAATATGTCAACAAATGTCCTTTAGTGAACAAAATCTGCCATCCTTATCTTGTCTGGCCTACGTGTGACTCCAAACCTACAGCAATGTGGTTGACTCTTAATTGCTCTCTGGGCAGTTTGGGATGGGGATTAAATGCTGGCTCCAGCCAGTGACGTGCACGTCCTGTGGATGAATTAAAAAAATAAGAAGCCCCACTGTGAAGGCAATTTGAAACAGATTCCCTTCCTTTCAGCATTCTGAAGAGGTTGCTCCTCTTGGTGGCACTCTGGTTCACTCCTTAGTCACCCTAAACACATCCCTTTTTATCTTCCCCTTCTCACTGTCCAAAGCCCTAAATAATCCCTTCAAGTCACACACACGACTTGGCCTGCAATGCTATCTCGAGTTAAGTGGATTTCTTCCTCGGATGTGGGCACTGTCATGGGGTATGGATATTGCTGACGAGGCTAACATCTATTGCCCATCCCTAATTGTCCAGAGGACAGCTACCAGTCAACTACATTGCTATGCGCCTTGAGTCAAATGTTTGTCAGCCTGGGTAAGGATGGCAGATTTCTCCCTAAAGGACATCAGTAAACCAGGTGAGTTTTTAAGATAAAACCCAAAAGAACTGCAGATGCTGTAAATCAGGAACAAAAACAGAAATTGCTGGAAAAGCTCAGCAGGTCTGGCAGCATCTGTGAGGAAAAAAAAATCAGAGTTAATGTTTTGCGTCCAGAGATAACGTTTTGGGTCCCTCAAGGGCCACTGGACCCAAAATGTTAACTCTGATTTTTTTTCTTTGCAGATGCTGCCAGACCTGCTGAGCTTTTCCAGCAACTTCTGTTTTTGTTCCTGAATTTTTAAGATAATCAGCAATAGTTACGTGGTTGCCATTAGGCTAGTATTTTACTTTGGAGTTTTACTGAATTATAATTTTGCCATCTGCCATTGTGGGATTTGAACTCATTTTCTAAGAACAAAAGTATTTTTTTTTTTAAAAAAAGGACATTTTCCACACTTTTCAGTTCTGAATAAGAATCATACCAGACTCAAAACATTGCCTTATGTTTTTATCTGCACAGATGCTACCAGACTTACTGAGTTTCTCCAGCAATTTCCGTGTTTGTTCCTTAAACCATTAGCCTGGCATTTTGGATCGTTCAGTGACATTACCACTACACCACCAGCTTTCCTTAAGTTGCAGCATAACTTCCTTCTTTGGTCTTCTGTCTCAGCTAATAAAGGCAAGCATCCCATATCTTTCTTAAACAACTCTTCTAGCTATCATTCTATCTTCAGGGATCTGTGGATATGCACACCAAGGTCCCTCTGATCCTTACTATCTTCCACGATCTATACCATGCATACTGAAATCTCTCGACCCGTCAGCTCTCCCCAAGTGCTTCACCTAAAGTCTAATCTCCCGAGGTTAACAGGATCTTCCACTACGTTCAGACTACCCTCATCCATTCTGTTTGCGCCCTTTGAAACCATTCCCAAAACCATGACAGAATACTTTCAATCTTGCCTTCAACACCACCAGCCTCTGTACTCAACAAATATTCCACCACCTAAGGGAAGGTGATGGCCTAGTGGTATTATCGATAGACTATTAATCCACAGACACAAGTAATGTTCTGGGGACTTCCGTTCAAATCTCACCGTAGCAGATGGTGGAATTTGAATTCAATAAAAATCCGGAAAGAAGAGTCATTACCGACTGTTAGGAAAAACCCATCTAATACATTAATGTCCTTTAGTGAACGAAATCTGCCATCCTTATCTTGTCTGGTCTATATGCGACTCCAAACCCACAGCAATGTGGTAGACTCTTAATTGCCCTCTGGGCAGTTTGGGATGGGGATTAAATGCTGGCCCCAGCCAGTGACATCCTGTGGATGAATAAGAAAAAAGCTCCAGTGTGAAGGCACTATGAAACAGATTCCCTTCCTTTCAACCTTCTGAAGAGGTTGCTCCTCTTGGTGACACACTGGTTCACTCCTTAGTCACTCCTAAACACATGCCTTTTTATCTTCCCCTTCTCACTGTCCAAAGCCCTAAATAATCCTTTCAAGGCACACAGTGATCTACATGCATTTATTTTACTGTACTGTATTTTTGGTTCACAATGTATCTCCAGAAGAAACTGGGAAGATGGAACACTGATTGGAGTTGCATTTAGTCTGCAAGCATGACCCTGAGCTTCTTGTCACTTGTTACTCTTTCTTGCTCTTAGAGTGAGAAGCAACTTGGAATAATGGGATCCTGTAGTTGTATTATATCTGGGCTCTCAGAAGGCATTTGATAAGGTGCCTCACTAGAAGTTAGTACGCAAGGAAGCTGACACAGGGTTAAGGGTTAATCTATTAGCTTGGATAGAAGGTTGTCTAATCAACAGAAAGCTGGGATAAATGGTCCTTTTCTGGTTGGCAAGATGTAACTGTTGGCTCAAACCTCAGGGCCTTCACTATTTATAATCAATATTAATGACTTGGAACAAAAACAGAAGTTGCTGGAAAAGCTCAGCAGGTCTGGCAGCATCTGTGAAGAAGAAAAAATATCAGAGTTAACGTTTCGGATCCGGTGACCCTTCCTCAGAACTCAGTTGAGGGTAAGTGCGAGTGGATCCATTTTGGTCAGAGGAATGGACAGGCAACTTTTTATCTAAATGGAAAGAAATTTCAGAGTTTTTTGATGCAGGGGGATCAGAATGTCACCATGCATGAATCACAGAAAACTAGTATGCAGGTACTGCAGGTAAGAAGGAAGACCAAATAGAATTTTGGCATTTTTTGCTAAAGGAGTAGAGTACAGAAGTAGTAAAATGCTGCTGCAACTGTACAAGGCATTAGTGAGACAGGACCTGGAGTGTTGTATACAATTTTGATTCCCTTACTTGAGGAGGTATGTAGTTGCATTGGAGGCAGTTCGGAAGAGACTCATTAAATTGATTCCAGACATGAGGTCTTATGGAAAAAGATTGACAAAAGTGAAGAATATTGTGCAATCATCAACAAATATCACTATTTCTGACTTCATGGTAGAGTGGTCATCACTTTCTCACTCACAGTCCACACTGAGCATCTGTAAGCAGTGAATTACTAGAATATTGTAGACTTTCTGACACCCAGCATTATACCACTGCTCTCAAATGTTGCACTACTCCAGCCAGTTTGGACAAACTAGTTATAACCATAATTGCTACCACTACTATTCCAGCTTGCTTATCCTGCCAGATACTGACCAACCTCCAGATATAGGTGGAAAAATCTCAGATTCCAGAATGTCAAGTACAAATAGATATTGATGGTGAAGGTGTATGGAGAGAAAAATGGGAATATGGCAGTGAGGTAGAGGATCAGCCTTGATTACATCGATTGTTGTACCAGTCTCAAAAAGGCCTAATGGTTTACTCTTGCTCCTGATTTGTGTTTCTAGATCTCCAACGGCAAGGTTTTGGATAGAGGCCGAGATGAGTTATTAACCCAGATTCAAAATGACAGAAATGACAGAATATTTAGGAGCGTTCTGGCCCAAGGTATGATGTTACAATGCTTAGGAAGGGGACTGGATGGTGGTGCAGGAGGGACAGATCGTATATCATGAGTGGTTAACAGGAAACATACATATATCTATGAATTTATTAACAAGGACGTCCTGAATGGATTCATTTGATTTGGAATGGAAGAACCAGTCGGGTGATAAACATAATGGAAGTAAATATTAGCCAGTAAAGCTCAAAGGATTGACTGGTTTTTTCCTGTTGGTACAAACACAGGACTTTCACAAGCCTCCTGGCTTCTATCAGAGCATGGTCCTTGTGGATGTTATATACAATGATGAAATCAATGGAATCAATGTTACCTGTTTGAAAAATTAAATTATGAATTCTGCCTAAGTAGACAGCAAGAAATGAGAGTCGGCTGAGTGAACCGACAAAGAAGTATTGAGGAAATATTTCATTTCTGAGAACTGTGCAATGTTCAACTTTAAAGTTTTAAAAAGGTAAATGTTTGAACATTAACTGCTTTTCTCCTCACAGATGTTGTTTGTCCAATTGAGTAGTTAAAAGTTCTCTCTCGTACCTATCCGAGAAGCCATACAAGTTCTTCAGGTGTTGTTTCAGGACCAACAGCAATAGGATTCCCTGAGAAGCATTCACAAACTCCACAAGAGGGGTCGAGTCTGCAGGCAATCGAGCGAGCACATCTTCCAGATCATCATCCTCATCATCACTTGAATCAGAGTTGATACGTTTCCTAGACTTGCGAGGCCGCTGCATCTCATCCTCACTATCACTGTCCCCAGAGCTCGAGCATTTCCTTTCCTTCGGCTGTGTGTCTTTCAATAGAGACTGTAAACAACAAATATTTAGTTTAAACAACTTATCTGCTTTGTGACTTTTTAAAAAGATGGATCCAACCCTTATACAAAACATCATTAGGAACAGCATCACTGGAACAGTACAATCACACATTGATACAACTCATTTCCAGGCAATATAGCCTTTTACAACTCACTGCACGTTCAATGAATACAAAATAGGCACACTTTGATGCACTTGCTATTTGGAGGATGATCCCTAGCATGGGGAGTTGAGAATTCAAGGCAATAGTATCACTTAGGGCTGAGACGAAAAGAAATTTACTGAACAAATGGATTGTGAACCTTTGATTTCTCCAGAGAGAAGTAGATGCACAGTTGATGAGTATATTTACATCAAGAATGGAATGCAAGTAGAGAGGCTAGGTGATGGGTGACCATTAGGTAGGAGGCCAAGCAATTAACACAGAAAGGGCAGGATTGGATAAGAAATAATACTGAATGTTAGATAGTTCACAAATGCTCAGGACAGGGAGGAAAAGGGTAAAAAAAGAGAGGGGAGGGACAATATTGGTAAAAGAAATTATAATAGCATTTGAAAGGAAGAGCACCCCATAGCGGTCAAGTAGAAAATCAGTTTAGTTCGAGTTAAGAAACACAGACATCATAACACTATTGCAAGTGTTCTACAGTTCAACTCCTGAGAGTCAGACAGAATTGGGTGGAGACAGAAAAAGCAGAAGCCAGGTCACAATAGATCAACTGTGATCTAACTGAATGGTAGAACAGGCTTGAAAGGCTGAAATTTTTAAATTCATTCACTGTATGTAGGTGTTTTTGACTGGGCCGGCATTTATTGCCCATCCTGGTTACATGTGAGGTGGCGGCGAGCTGCCTTGAACGGTCCAGTCCATGTGCTGTAGGCAGACACATAATGCTGCTAGGGAGGGAATTGATTTTGACCCAATTACAGTGAAGGAACGATGATGTATTTTCAAATCAAGAATTTATCTGCTACTCTTGTCCTTCTAGATGGAAGTGGTTGTGGATTTGGAAAGTGTTGCAGTACATTGCATTTGGCGTAATGTTTGGCACAACATCATGGACCGAAGGGCCTGTTCCTGTGCTGTACAGTTCTATGTTCTATCTGGTAGATAGCACACACTGCTGCTACTCAGCATCAGTGGTGGAGAGTGTGCCAACTTGTGGATGTGGAGACAATCAAGCTGCTTTGTCTTGAGTGGCGTCAAGCTGTTTGAGTGATGTTGGAGCTGCACTCATTCAGGCAAGTGGAGAATATTCCATCACACTCCTGTAGATGGTGGAAAGGCTTTGAGAAGGCAGGAGCTGAGTTACTTGCTGTCAAGCTTCCAAACTGCTCTTGTAGCCACTCTATTTATATTGCTAGTCCAGTTCAGTTTCTGGTCAACTGTAACCCCTCAGATGCTGCTCGTGGGGAATACAGTGATGGCAATGCTATTGCATGTCATGCAGTGATGGTTAGATTTTCCCTTGTTGGAGATGGTCATTGCCTGGCACTTGTGTGGCATGAACGTTACTTGCCACTTGTCAGCCCAAGCCAAAACCCAGTTTATGCTGTGTTTGGAAATAGGCAGCTTCAGTTTCCAGGGAGTTGGGAATGGCAAACATGGTGCAAACGTCACAAACTCTGCCAATATTGACCTTATGATGGAGGGAAGGTAATCGATGAAGCAGATGAAGATGGCTTAGGCCACTACCCTGAGGAACTCTTGCAGAGATACCTGCAACTGAGATGACTGCCCTCCAACAACACGACTGTCTTCCTATGTGTCAGCTATGACGCCAACGAGCAGAGACTATTCCCCTTGATTCCCACTGACTCTAGTTTTGCTAGGGTTCCTTGATGCCACACTTCATCAAATGCAGCCTTGATGTCAGGGCTGTCACTCTCACCTCACCTCTGGAATTCAGCTCATTTGCAGCTTCAGTTCAAACATGGACAATGAGGTCAGGAGCTGAGTGGGTCTGGCGGAACCAGAACTGAGTGTCAGTGAGTGAGTTATTACTAAGCAAGTACAGTCAAACACAGGGAAACAGTAGGACAATGGTGAAAGCCAGAGCTCAGTGAATGAGAGCTCAGTGAATGACAGAACAGAGTGTGTGTAAGATGAAGCAGAAAAATTCAGCATCACTGAACAAAGCTTACAGGTTAAGTGAAGAAAGAAGCAAGACCAGCAAAAGTAGAGTATGAGAAGAAATTGTCAGTGTAAAGCAAAACCAAAATTATCTACAGTCAAATCATTAATAAAAAAGATAGTCAAAGAATGATCGGTTCTGATTAGGAAACAAGGAGGAGATTTGTACGTAGAAGCAAAATGCCTGGTCAAGATACTAAATGGGCACTTTCCACTTGTCTTTACCAAGGAAGGAGAAGGCAGTTTAGACAGGCTAAAATTGCTAAAGAGGTGATTCAGAAAAGGTGCCTGAAAAGTCACCAGGACCAGATGGGATAGGAACATAGAAAACTGGAGCAGGATGAGGCCACTCAGTTGTTCAAGCCTACTCTGCCATTCTTATGATCATGGTTTATCACTCAACTTAATAGCCTATCCCCACTTTTACCCCCATATCCTTTGATCCCTTTTGTCTTAAGGCTATCCATCCATAGAACCCCTACAGTATAGAAACAGGCCCTTTGGTCCAACAAGTCCACACCAACCCTCAGAGCATCCTACCCAGACCCATTCCCCAAACCCACCCAATCTACAGATCCCTGAACAGGCAATTTAGCATGGCCAATCCACCTAGCCTGCACATCTTTGGAACGTGGGAGGAAACCGGAGCACCTGGAGGAAATCCACGTAGACACAAGAAAAATGTGCAAACTCTATACAGACAGTTGCCCGAGGGGAGAATTGAACCCGGGGCCCTGATGCTGTGAGGCAGCTGTGCTAACCACTGAGCCACTGTGCTGCCCATATCCAACTCCTTCTTGAAATCATTTCATTTTTTGGCCTCAACTGCTCTCTGTGGCACAGAGTTCCACAGACTCGCAACTGAGTGAAGAAATTTCTCCTCATCTCAGTCCGAAAGGTTTATCCCATATCCTTTGACTGGGATCCCTGGTTCTGGGCATCCCCATCAGCAAGAACATCCTTCCTGAACATACCCTGTCTAGTCCTGTTAGAATTTTTAGATTTCTATGTGATCGCTCCCTCAATCTTCTGAACTAGCCAATATAATCCTAACCAACTCAACTTCTCCTCAAATGTCAGTACTGTAATCTCAGGAATCAGTCTAGCAAACCTATGTTGCACTCCCTCCATAGACCGAACATCTTTCCTCAGATAAGGAGGCCAAAACTGCAAACAACATTACCGGCGTGGTCTCACCAAGGCACTGCAGAATTGCAGCAAAACATCCCTACCTGTACACTCATCCTCTCGTTTTCAAGGCCAACGTACCATTTCCTCTCAACCTGCTGCTACACTTGCATGTTTATCTTCCGTGAACGATGTACGAGGGCACACAAGTCTCATTGAACATTCCCCTCTCTCAATCTATGGCCATTCAGATAATAATCTGCCTTCTCTTTTTGCTCTGTAAGTGGATCATTTATCCACATCATAGTGCATTTACCATGTATTTGCCCACTCATTTAGCTTGTCTAAATCACCCTGAATTCAAGGATGCTGACAGAAAGATTGGATACGGAGCATGCACTGCACTGATCAAACCTTTAAATTTCCCCTAGGCACTTTGGGTAGTGCAGGAGGACTGGAGAACTGCAGATGTTACACAGTTGTGCAACTAGATATCAGAGAGAATAGCATGAGTGGTGGGAAAATGTTTCAAAATGATAATCCAGGACAAAATAAAATGGACAAACATGGATTAATAACAGAAACCCAGTTGCAATCTGTAAAGAGCAAATTTTTTTTTCATGACTTTACAAAGTGGTTGATGAGGGAAACGCAAACTTCCGAAAGGTATCTGATCAAGTAACAAAGTTGAAATCTATGGAATTGAGGCACAATGATAGCAATGATCCAGCATGCGGCGGATAGTATTTGGACAGGTTCCCCAGGTGAGACTATTAGGACTACTGAGGTGTTCTGAGGAAGGGTCACTGGGCCCGAAAAGTTAAACTGTTTTTCCCTTCACAGATGCTGCCAGACCTGCTGAGCTTTTCCAGCAACTTTGTTTTTGTTCCTATTAGAACTACTGTTTTACTTACTCAACATCGATGATCTAGATTTGGGTGTGAAAGGCTTAATTTCAAAATTCACAGATGACTCAAAACATGGAAGTATTATGAAATATGGGAGGGGTAAAGTCACAGGTTGAATGGGTGGATCATTGGAAGATGAAATTTAACGTGGAAAAGTGAGAGAGAGTTATTTCTGAGGAAGAATGACGAGACAATGAAAACAAAGGTGATAATTCTAAGCATGAGGTGGGAGTTGCAGTGACAGAAGTACATGTGGAAAAGATCAGGGAAAGTGGCAAGACAGTTTGAGAGCACAAGTTAATAAATCTTACAGTATCATGGAGTTATTAACAGGGTTACAGAATACAAGAGCAAGTTAGCTATGTTAAATATGTATTCAAAACTGGACTGCACTGATGGGCTGATTGGCCTAATTCTGCCCTTACCTTATGGTCTCATATCTGGTGCCATACTTTAGGAAGGAAATGAATGTATCAGAGTCTGTGTGGAAAAGATTCACAAAAACGATTCCAGTGACGAGGGATGTCAATGATGGAGCTAATCTGGAGACAATGGGCCTTTTGAGATGGTTCAGAAAACATTCGATAGAAGTGCACAAAATCATGAGGGATCCAGCTAGAGTACAGAGGGACTGTCATGTAATTGAACATAACTGTTCTTATTGGTGGAAGCATAAAGACTGACAGGACACAAGAGAGGAAAACATGAGGAAATCTTCTCATGCAGCGACTGGTTAGGATCCAAAGTGCACTGCCTAAGAATCTGGTGGACACAAAATCAATTGAGGCTTTCAAGAGCAAACTGAATAATAATTACCTGAAAAGAAGAATGTGCAGGACTATGTGGAGAAGGCAGGGGAATGGCACTAGGTGAACTATTCCTTCAGAATCCAGGACAGACAGGATGAGCCAAACAGCATCCTTCTGTGCTATAGCCATTCTGTTTCTAGTGGTGTCCTAAAAATATCAGTTTTATATTTCGGTCTACACTGCTTACAAAGAGATATTGCTAAATTAAGTGAAGGGATAAAGCTGTGACAACTGATTTTAATATTTAAAAAAAAAAGGTAATTTACTTGGGCCTAAAATGAAAGTAAAGAAGCTACTCGCTGGTGAAAAATTAGAACCAATGGAAGTTCAGAGACCTGGAATTGAAGTACACAAATCATTAAAAATATATATGAAATGCTCAAAATGTCTAATGGAATGCTGCCTTTTGAATCTGGAAGAGTAGAATAGAAGGGAGTAGGAGGAGGGACTGGTAGTTATACAACGCCGTGGTTAAACTACATTGGATTAATGTGAAAAGTTTTGGGCATCACACCCTGGAAATATATTGGCACAGGAGGGAATGCAAATTAAATTTCAAGGTAAGATTTTGCAAACTAGGTTACATTGCTTGGAATTTAGAAGATTAAAAGATAATTTGATCAAAATTTTCAAGGCGGTACGCTTCTGCATCAGGGGGAACAGACAGGGCAGATATAGACAAGCTATTTTCATCAGCTGCAAAGTTTATTTGGCTAATCATAATCTAACCTAGTAGAGACAGCATGTCTTCATTAAAGGGAAATCATGTCTGACTAAATTAATAGAGTTTTTCAAGGAAGGCTCAATCAGACTGGAATGCAGGGGAACTACGAATGTACACATTTCGACTTCTGGAAAGCGTCACAAAAGGTTAAGTCATAATATAAGAGCCCATGGTGCTGGAGGTAGCGTATTGGCATGAATAGAGAATTAGTTCATAGGCAGCAAACAGCAAGTAGTGAAAAGGTATTCTTTCTCAGGCTGGTGACTTGTCAGTGCTGGGACAAGAATTTCCAAAATACATTAATGTCTTGTAGGAAGGAAGTGACTGTACTGTAGCCAAATTTGCAGACAACACAAAAATAGGTAGACAGGCAAATTGCAAGGGAGATACAAACAGTTTACAGAGAGATACTGATAGGTTAAGTTAGTGGCCAAATTGTTGGCAAATGCAGTATAATGTGGGAAAAACTGCAGAAAGTTGCAACACAAAGGTTACATGTGAACAAAACAAAGTTAGCACACAGGTGCAGCAGGTAATCAGGAAGGCTAATGAAATACTGACCCTTATTTCAAGGGGTTTGGAATACAAAAGTGAGGAAGTCTTACTGCAACTGTACAAGGTGCTGGAGTACTGTGAAAAGTTTTGGTCGCTTTATTTAAAGATATTATTTCATTGAAGGTAGTTCAGAGAAGGTTCATTAGAATGATCCCCAGTATGAAGGAACTGTCTTGTGAGCAAAGGTTAAACAGTTTAGGGCTCTACTCACTGGACTTGAGAAGAATAAGAGGCGATTTCACTGATGTAGGATTCTTATGGGGCTTGATAGGGTAACCACTGAGAGGATGTTTCCCCTCATGGAGAGTCTAGGACCAAGGAGTGTTGTCTTAGAATAAAGTGGCGCCAATTTAAGACTGATATGAGGAGGAGCACAGTCCTCGTATATATTTAAGGCTGACATAGACAGATTCTTGATCAGTATGGGAATCAAGGGTTATGGGGAAAATACAGGAAGGTGGATGTGAGGAGTGACGGATCAGCCATAATCATATTGAATGGCAGTGCCAGCTGGAGATGCTGAACAGCCTATTGCTGTTCCTATTTTTATAGTCTTATGCTGTAGACTAGAGGCACAGTTTAAAAATTAAAGCCAGATCTTTCAGAAGTGAAATTAGAATACACCCTTTCCTCCACAAAAGACAACTGAAGTTCTAAATTATTGAATTTAAACAGAGATTGATATATTGATAATACTATATGTACTAGAAGATAAAGTCACCTTAGTTCCAATAGGATGCTAAGGCTGCTCTCTCATTAAAGAGTATGAGGGAGAAAGACTGCGAGAGAGAGCGTGAGGATTGGTGGCAATTTAACCTGAGTGTCACCACACCATGCAGGAGAGGAGCCGATGTACAAATTAAAGCCACACTGCTGGCAACACTCTGCATTGCAAACCGGCCATCCAACCAACGGAGATAACCAGACACACTTAAGAATATTAGGCAGAAACATCAAATGCAGTGAAGAGACACCACGTAAGGTGTTGTCAATCTATCAGTAAATGAACAGAGTGAAATAAATGAGGCAGTCTCATCTAATAGCTCCTTTGAAGGGCATTAAGTGCCCTTATTGAGATTACCTCAGCTCATGATGTTCATCCAACTTTGATATCATTCAATTTTGATTTTGATTTATTCATACAGATCCCAATGTTACTTACCTCCCTGAACGACTGCAGCAGATTACTTCCAGAAACTGAAAGCGTAATGTCAATGTGGTGCATAATAAACAGAGGCTCCTCTTGCGTCTGGAAAGGGAAGCAGGCCAAGTTGTCCGCTATGTAAAGAAGCAGGTTCACCTCAGTTTTCTATAAAGAAGAAAAACAAGTTTTGAACAGGTCTGAATTCCCATTTCAGTTCTTGTGAAATTCTGTCCGTCTCCTATCCACAATTCCCTACTCTAGCACTTGTAATATTTTTATGAAGTACCTGATAAAGAAATAGATATACAGTGGCTAAATGGCATTCCACATTTTGTCAACATAGCATTATCTCTATGCACTGAATGAGTCAGTACAATGGAAAAAGGTCACTGACTCAAGTCCTACAACTATTCCTCGAGCAGACTGCAAAGGAAGCTTAACTTCGGATTTGCTTCGCAGTTTTCTAAAGGAATTGACAGTAGAGGGCACATAGGGAGAGTACAAATGAGGAAGGCAACACAGGGAACTCATACTGTGGACATCTAAGGAGGTTTTACCATTCCTTGCAACTCAAATGATTGTTGGAACTGACTAACTAGTATACATGAGCCCTGATGTGCACTGGAAAGCTGAACAACTTTAGCATTCTGGCAGTGCATGCAACCATAGCAGTTGGCTGCTGCTGTCTGTAGTGCTGGTCACTTCAAACAACAGGTAGTTGCAGAGCAAAGAAGAAAGGGAGGGTCTAGCATAAAAACAAGTGCAACTACATTGATGAGTGTAACCAGTGCAAATATGGAGTTCGTATGAAATTTAGCAAAATCCATCTATTTAAGCACTGAAGCTAGTGGTCACTTGAAGCAGATTCCACTGGTGAGGGACCAAGTGAAAGTAACACAGGTTACTGGAATAGAAACAAAAGCACAATGGAAATACTCAGCAGGTCAGACAGTATCTGTGCTGAGAAACAAAGTTAATGTCTCAGGCTGAGATGACCCACATTATAACTTAAGACCTTTGCATGAATGAAGGAGCTCAGGGCTGACATAAGCCCTGATTACTGTGCATTTACTAACTACCTTTCAGCATTAAGTTATTCACTAGTCATGTTGCTGAAGAAGTAGTCTGAGGGTAACTGATACACAGACAGTTGGATAGAGGACAGATACATAAGCAGATCACAGAAAGATGTAAAAACAACAAGGTTGTGGTACTGGGTGATTATAAACTTGCCCAATATTCACTGGTAAAGCCTTAGTACCAGGAGCTTGGATGAGGCAGAATATGTCAGATGCATCCAGGAAGGCTTCTTGGAACATGTAGGTAGTCCAACCAGGGAAGTGCTGTTTTAGACCTTGCTCTCAGGAATGATCCTGCTCAGGTGATCAAAGTTTCACTGGGGGAGCAGTTTGAGAACAGTGAACATAATTCCATAAGTTTTAAGATAGCTATGGATAAGGATAACACTTGTCATTGGGTTAAAGTGCTAATTTAGGGGAAGGCTAATTACAACAGTATTAGGCAGGGACTGGAGAAATTAGTTTGAAGGCAGCTGTTTGAGGATAAATGCACATCTGACATATGGGAGTCTTTTAAAGGCCAGTTGATCAGAGTTTAGGACCAGCATGTTCCTATGAGGACGAAAGATAAGGATGACAACATTGAGGAACTTTGGATGAGAACAGATATTGAAAGGTTAGTCAAAAAAAAAGCAAGCATACGTAAGGTTTAGGAAGCTGAAATCAAACAAGGCCCTTGAGGAATATAAAGGTAGCATAAAAGAACTTAAACAAGAAATTAGGAAGGCTAGAAGGGGCCTTGAATTGTTCTTGGCAAGTAGGATTAAAGAGAACCCCAAGGAATTTTATACCTATTTTAGGAACAAAGCAGTAGCCAGGTAAAAGGTAGATCCACTCAAGGACGCAGGCAGGAAATTATGCTTGCAGCCAGAGGAGGTGGGTGAGATCTTTAATGAGTACTTTGCATTGGTATTTTCTAAGAGGGTGCAAAAGAGGTTTACCAGGATGTTGTGTGGATTGGAGTGTATTAGCTATAAAGGAGAAGTTAGCCAAACTTAGAGCTTGTTTTTGCTATGGCATCACAGGCTGACAAGTGTCTTGACAGAAATATATAAAATTATGAGGTATGGATAGGGTGGACAGTCAGGTGGAAATAGGGAGCATACGGTTTAAGTTTAGAGTTAAGGAGGAGGTTCCTCAAATATCCCTATCCTCAATGATGGAAGAGCCCAGCACATCACTGCAAAAGGTAAGGCTGAAGCATTCACAGCAATCTTCAGCCAGAAGTGCCGAGTGGATGATCCATCTCGGCCTCCTCCAGTGGTCCCCAGCATTACAGATGCCAGTCTTCAGCCAATTCGATTCACTCCATGTGACATCAAGAAACTGTTGGAGACACTGGATACTGGAAAGGCAACGGGCCCTGACAACATTCCAAAAATAGTACTGAAGACTTGTTCTCCAGAACTTGCCGCTCCCCTGGTCAAGCTGTTCCTGTACAGTTACAACATTGGTACCTACTCGACAATGTGGAAAATTGTCCAAGTATGTCCTGTACACAAAAAACAGGACAAATCCAACTCGGCCAATTACGGACCCATCAGTCTCCTCTCCATCATCACTAAAGTGATGGAAGGTGTCGTCAACAGTGCTATCAAGCAGCATCTGCTCAGAAATAACCTCTATGTGATGCCCAGTTTGGGTTGTGCCAGGGGCACTCAGCTCCTGATTTCATTACAGCCTTGGTTCAAACATGGACAAAACAGCTGAATTCCAGAGGTGAGCCGAGAGTGACAGCCCTTGATATCAAGGCTGCATTCGACCGAGTGTGGCATCAAGGAGCCCGAGCAAAACTGGAATCAATGGGTATCAGGGGTAAATTCTCCACTGGTTGGAGTCATACCTGACACATAGGAAGATGGTCGTGGCTGTTGGTGGTCAATCATCTCAGCACCAGGACATCTCTGCAGGAGTTCCTCAGGGCAGTGTCCTTGGCCCAACCATCTTCAGCTGCTTTATCAATGACCTTCCCTCCATCATAAGGTCAGAAGTGGGGATGTTCGCCGATGATTGGACAATGTTCAGCACCATTCGTGGCTCCTCAGATACTGAAGAAGTCCATGTTCACATGCAACAAGACCTTGAGCTTGGCTGACAAGTGGCAAGTGACATTCGCGCCACACAAATGTCAGGCTATGACCATCACCAATAAGAGACAATCTAACCACTGTCCCTTGACATTTAACGGTGTTACCATCACTGAATCCCCCACTATCAACATCCTGGGGGTTATCATTGACCAGAAACTCAACTGGACTCACCACATAAATATAGTGGCTACAAGAGCAGGCCAGAAACTAGGAATACTGAGGCGAGTAACTCACCCCCTGACTCCTCAAAGCCTGTCCACCATCTACAAGTTAGAAGTCAGGAGTGTGATGGAATACTCCCCACTTGCCTGGATGAGTTCAGCCCCAACAACACTCAAGAAGCCTGACACCATCCAGGACAAAGCGGCTGGCCTGGTTGGCACTACATCCACAAATATCCACTCCCTCCACCACCGACACTCAGTAGCAGCAGTGTGTACTATATACAAGATGCATTGCAGAAATTCACCAAAGATCCACAGACAGCGCCTTCCAAACCCACGACCACTTCCATCTAAGTACAAGGGCAGCAGACATATGGGAACACCATCACCTCCAAGTTCCAATCCAAGTCACTCACCGTCCTGACTTGGAAATATATTGCCATTCCTTCACTGTCGCTGGGTCAAAATCCTGGAATTCCCTCCCTAATAGCATTGTGGGTCAATCCACAGCAGGAGGACTGCAACAGTCCAAGAAGGCAGCTCACCACCACCTTCTCAAGGGCAACTGGGGATGGGCAAGAAATGCTGGCCAGCCAGCAATGCCCACATCCCACAAATGAATAGAAAAAAAAGTGGGGAAGTTTTCAGGAGCTGTGCAAGGCAAGTTCTTTTTTAAAACACTGTGTAGTAAGAGCCTGGAAAGCGTTGCCTGGGGAGGTGATAGAAGCTGGCACAAGGCATTTAGACATACACATGAACAGGCAGAGAAGAGAGTGACATGTAGGCAGATGGAATTAGTCTAGAATGGTCAGCACAAATAGGGTGGGCCGAAGGGCCTATTCCTGTGCTGTATTGCTCTAACTTCCACATCCTTTGGCCTTTATTACTTTAGGGAATACAAGTCACATTTATATAACCTGTTCTCAGACTTGAAGTCTTTCAAACCCACTATCATTTCCATGAACCTGCACTGCTACCTACCCAGGGTCAATATATTCTGCCAGAGGGTGAAGCTTCCAGAATTGAATGCAGTACATCAGCTGAATTCTTGCCAAGGTGAAGCACAACTTGCTTCCATCACCTCCCATTGACATGACTTATTCGAACTCTCACTGTCAACTTTATGTTCACTGCTTATGAGGGAGAAGCTCAGGCCCCAGAAGAGATCTCTATAGAACATCCTTTATAACCCTCCAATCAAGAGCACATAGCCTGACACAGACTAAGTTCAGCTTCTCTCTCCTACTTAAAGTTTTACACTCACGTCTAGCTTTCACATCTGCTCATTCCCTTGAATTTCATATCTCTATTGTCCTATCTCGCATCATGTTATCCAATTCTAGTCAGAATACCTCAATGTTTCTGCCCATTTTGGTGGTAGTTTCCTAATTCCTTTTCACCAATTTCTGCAGGGTCTACTTACTTGGAATAGCCCAATTCTAAAGGATTAAGATACCTCAGACAGCACCTTCCAAACCTCTGGTGCCACATTATACTGGTTAATAATAGCCATTCTATTGGAAATTAGGCAGGGTGTCACTTGCCAGGAACCCCAGGCATACTGACTCACCGCACTGTCATCAAACAGGTTGAGTAAGGCGATAAGGAATGCACGTCGATGTTGTCGGTTTCCTCTTATCATGCTGTAGAGATGTGAACACAAAGCTGTCACATTCTCTTCCTGCCTAAACCCACGGATTAACTCTCTTATCTCAGACTGGATGGACTGTTGAAGCTGGTAAGACATCTTCATCCCTGCTACTGCTTTCATCTGGAAAAAAGCAGAGAACAATGATCATCACCATTCACCTCACTAATTGAAATACCCACATTTCGATGCATGGCAGAGAGTTAGACAATATTTAAATTTATAACAATACTAGGTAACATTACACAACATGCAGCACAGAAGGTGCCCATCTAGGTATCTAATTCCTTCCATTTGCTGAGCTTTTCCCATATCTTTGTACCTTTTGTCTCCAAATGTTTATCTAACTTGTTTTTGAACATTACTGAATCTGTCTCCATGAACTTTTAAGCAGAAACATTAAAGATCATTAGAACTTGCTGCCTAAAATGATTTTTTTTTATTTCCACCCCTGAACTATGTTCACTATTCTTAACTCTGTTCCCTCTGGTTACAGACTTCCAGCCAAATTAAAACCCAACACTTTAGAACATAAAACATAAGAACACAAGAACTAGGAGCAGGAGTAGGCCATCCGGCCCCTCGAGCCTGCCCCGCCATTCAATAAGATCATGGCTGATCTTTTTGAGACTGAGCTCCACTTACTCGCCCACTCACCATAACCCTTAATTCCTTTACTGTTCAAAAATTTATCCAGCCTTGCCTTAAAAACATTCAGCGAGGTAGCTTCAACCGTTTCACTGGGCAGGAAATTCCACAGATTCACAACCCTTTGGGTGAACAAGTTCCTCCTGACCTCAGTCCTACATCTGCTTCCCTTTATTTTGAGGCTATGCCCCCTAGTCTTAGTTTCACCTGCTAGTGGAAACAACCTCCCCACCTCCACCTTATCTATTCCCTTCATAACCTTATATGTTACTATAAGATCTCCCCTCATTCTTCTGAATGCCAATGAGTATAATCCCAGCCTACTCAGTCTCTCCTCATAATCCAACCCTCTCAACTCTGGAATCAACCGAGTGAATCTCCTCTGCACCCCCTCCAGTGCTAGTATATCCCTTCTCAAGTAAGGAGACCGAATATTAATTTCTCTCTCTCAAAACCCAACACTTTAGGCTATTAATTTTCCTTTATCCTTTTCTACTCAGGAAAAGAATCCCAGTTTGACTTGTTTTTCTGTAAAACTGGGGGACTTCACCTTGGTTGCCACCTCCACCACTCCCACGGAAGAACATCGTTCCTGAAGGATGACCAAAACTATACACAGCACTCGAGTGGTTTATAAACAAGGTGTAGCATAACTTCCTTGCTTTTCTTTATTTTAAAAGAACACATTTGTCAACTCACTTTGCCATTTGAGTGTGAATAAATGCTACGTTACGTTGCGGTGCAGCATATTGTGGCATGACAACTGGCAATGTTCAGGGGACAAACAGGATGTATACAAGTAGGGATCTTTTTCAAATGCGGGCACACAGTAATCTTAAATCAAGTGCACAACATGATAATCAGGCTGGGCACAGCAAAGGGAAATTAGAGGAAACATTGATCTGAACCCTGAGATATTCCTGTTCCTGCAAACCCTTTTAAATACAAGCACTGCATTTTTATTGTGTCTTCTCATTTTCTCTCTCTCAAAACACAACACTTCACATTTTGCTACATTAAATTGCTTCTGTGGTATTTCACCAATTTATATCCATGACTTCCTGAAGAATACTACCAGGAATTACTACATTTCCAAGTTTTGTGTCACCTGCAATTCTTGAAATTATTCATAATGTCATACAGTACTACAGCACACAGACACACACTTTGGTCCAACCAGTCCAAGCCGACCATAATTCCAAGTTAAACTAGTCCCACTTGACTGCACTTGGCCCATATCTCTCCAGCTTAACAATATTCTTCCTATAACAGGGTGACCAGAATTGCACATATTACTCCAACAGTGGCCTCACCAATGTCCCATACAACCTCAACATAACATCCCAACGCCTATACTCAAAGGTCTGAGTAATGAAGGCAAGTGTGCTAAATGCCGTAATCATCCTGTCTACGTGTGATGCAAACTTCAAAGAATTATGGAGCTGAACCCCTATGTCTCTCTGTACTACAACACTACCCAAGGCCCTACCATTAATTGTATAAATACTGCCCTTGTTTGTTTTGCCAAAATGTGACACCTCATATTTATCCAAATAACACTCCAGCTGCCACTCCTCAGCTCACTGACCCAACTGATCAAGATCCCTTTGTAATCTCAGACAACATCTGTCACTGTCCAATATACCATCAATTTTGGCGTCCCCCGCAAACTTACTAACCATGCTGTCTATATTCTCATCTAAATCATTTATATAAATGACAAAAGTAGACCCAGGACCAATCCCCGTGGAACACCGCTGGTCAGTCCGAAAAATAACCCTCCATCACCACCCTGTCTCCTGACATTGTAGCCAATTGGCAAGCTCACCCGGAATCCTTTATAATCTAACTTCACTAATTAGTCTACCATGCAGAACACTGTTAAAGGCTTTACTAAGTCCAAGTACGTGCAGTTGCTGGCGTTGGAGTGGAGTGGAGTCGACAAAGCCAGAAGTCACATGACACCAGGTTTAGTCCAACAGGTTTATTTGAAATCACACAAGCTTTTGGAGCGCTGCCCTTTCTTCAGGTGCAGTAAGATAGCAGGGCACACAGACACAGAGTTTATAGGGAAAGAGATCAAGGGCAGACAGATCAAAAGATCATACAATGGGTGTGAGTGGCGTGTCAGACAATAAGTCTCTGCAGGTGACCAAGAGCGTTAGATGGTGAGAAAAGTGATTATAAAATCAATGTTAGTGCTGTGCTGTTAAGACAATCAGGCACAGCGATAGGAATATACAAAAGGTGACATCTCAGGCCAGACACTCAATTGTAGGTGTGAGGCCTTGTTCAGAATTTGTCTCAGAGTTTTAACCTGGAGTCAGGCTGGTTTTATTTTGAAAGCAGAAATTTATAGGATGCCACATGGACTGACTGTGACTACACACTGTATGTTTTTGAACAAAATAGGAAGTATCTGCAAATAAACAATCATCTTGGATGAAATGATTCACCTCATTGTCAGTGTTCTGAAGTTTTGAAGAAGGGTCCCCAGTAGGAATGTTGACTTTCCTACTCCTCTGATGCTGCCTGACCTGCTGTGTTCCTCCAGTTCCACACTATCGACTCTAACTCCAACATCTGCAATTCTTGCTAACTCTGTATCTGTGCTCTCTCCACTCTCACTCACCTGACAAAGGGGCTGCGCTCTGAAAGCTTGTGAGATTTCAAATAATCTGTTGGGCCATACCTGATAAACTCCAAGTAAACAACGTCTAACGATCTGCCCTCATCATTCTTCTTGGTTACTTCCTCAAAAAATTCAAATCGAGTTTGAGAGATGCAATTTCCCTCACACAGAACCATGCTGCTGACTATCCCTAATCATTCCTTGCCTCTCCATAGAATCTACCCTACAGAGTGAAAGCAGGCCATTCAGCCCATCAAGTCCACAGCGACCCTCCGAAAAGTATCCTACCTGGACCCACCTCCTCACACTAATCACTGTATTTCTCATGGCTATTTCACCTAGCCTTCACATCCCTGGACACTAAGAGCAATCTTAGCACAGTCAATCCATCTAACCGGCACATCTTTGGGCTGAATTGGGAAATGATGTTGTATTGTCCACTCACGTCACTGTCCTTCCACCCTCACTAAGAAACTGCAACCCTACTCCCCTGCTCGCTTTCTGGGTGCAATGTCATGGGCGGTCAGCTAGTACAATACAATCAGTGTAGTGCTTTTATTGTCAAAAATCAACAGTTCATCAGAGACCTGCTTGAACAATAAACACATCTTCTACTATGAGCAGTCAATTTCTATTCGGGAAACAACTAAAATAACATAAGCATCGTTCAAAAAAGAAGCTTAAATGAACAAAAGGCTGGAAAACATCAGCTTCACATTTGCTGCTGGGGTGAGCTCAGGAAATCTGTGGAATAAAGCAGAGTGGCCCCCGTGAAACAGAGAGTCTGGTGGTGGTGGTGATAGGGGACAAGGCTAAACTTTTATGTATCTCTCTCCCCCTCCCTTCCTAATGTCTGGTTACTGCATCCATATCGCCCAGTAAAGGTGGAAACAGACAACTGGGCTTAATATCCACCAGTTGTAATGCAGAAATAAAAAAATTTTGTGCCCCATTGCAGAAAAAAGGACACTTTCAGTCATCTCACTGATGCACTCTACACAACCAGGCCTCTACCAATCAGAACCGACTTGTCAATTGATTGGCACTCTCTTCTCAGTATAAAACATTGGTTTCCCTTTACACTGGCACTCTTGTAAATTGTCCAGATAAGTGGAAGATTAAAAAAAACTTTGACAAAGTGTTGACAGAGAAAAAAACAATTTGTCAAAGTTTTTTTTACTCTGCAACGTGAGAGCTCTGTTCTCCCAAATGACTGCTTCTACCATTGCTGGAAATGGGTCCAATTTGCATAGAAACTTTCCTCATGTCATTGACTGCAGGGAAAATGTTGTGGGATGTTGCCTCTTAACCATAGTCATTAGCAAAAATGCGACGTTTTGCAGAAGTCCGACATTTTCCAGCCTTTGGGGAAGATAAACACATTTTAATGGTCCAGAATAGATGTTCCCTTTATTCATTAACAGGATGAGGACGTTGCTGGCTAGGCAGCATCTATTGTCCATCCTTAATTGCCCACAGGGCAATTCAGAGTCAACCACATTGCTATCACATGAGTGGACAGAACAGCATCATTTTCCCATTTGGCCCAAAGATGTGCAGGTTAGGTGGATTGGCCATGTTAAAATTGCTTGTAGTGTCCAGGGATATGAAGGCTAGGTGGATTGCTGTGGGTCGGACCAGGTTAGGTTGGCAGTTTCCTTCCCTAAAAGACAACAGTGAACCAGGTGGGTTTTCTCGATAATCGATTCACGGTCATCATGAGATTCTTAAAATAAAAATATTGAATTCAAATTCCACCATCTGCCGTGGTCCCCAAAATGTTATCCGGGTTAGCAGTCTCTTATCGCAAGCCTCACAGTCCAGTCTGTCAGTGAACAATGATCTTTCCAAAACCGGGACTAGCCAAAAATCCTCTATAGAAAACCACTTGTTCCACTTCAGAGTCAGGGGGTGTTCAGATAGAGTCATAGAGTAAAACAGGATCTGTTTCCATGCTTCGGTCCAAACTGGTCCATGCTGACTGTGGTGCCCACTCAGCTAGTTCCAACTGCTCACATTTGGTCCATATCCCTCTAAACCCTTCCCATCCATGTACCTATCCAATTTTATTTTTAAAATGTTGCTATTGCACCTGCCTCAACCTCTCTTTCTGGCAGCCCATTCCATATATCCACCATTCTCTGCATGAAGAGTTGCCCCTCAGATCCTTCTTAAATCTTTCCCCTCTCACCTTAATCGTATGCCCTCTAGTTTTCAATTCCACGTCCCTGGGGGAAAAGACTATATGCATTTATGCTATCTATGTACCTCATGATTTTATACACCTCAGTAAGGTCACCCCTCATTCACCCATGTTCCAAGGAATAAAGTTCTATCCTGGTCAACCTCTCCCTATAATTCAGGCTTACTAGTCCTGGCAAGATGCACATAAATCTTCTTTGCACACTTTCCAGTTTAACTATGTCATTCCTATAACAGGGTGACCAAAACTGTACACAGTACTCCAAGTGCAGCCTCATCAACAACTTGCTGGGAATTACTATGGAATTTTCTCAGAGAAGGTGGAAATGTCTCAGATAAGAATGAATATTGATGAGAGAGGTTTCTTCATCGATTACAGCAGAACTAATAAATAAATACATTTGTCATCCCAACACCCATCACCTCATCCAATTGACATAGAATAGTCAAGAACTTCTGCATTCACCCACAATTCAAAGGATAAGTTCATTCCGAGCATTGATTACTCTGCACAAAGAGGTCCGACACAATTATGGTCCTTCTGTTGGGTTTTCCACTGTCTTTGACGTAGTGGTCTTGATTTACGTTTAGATACACAGATGGACTGGCACAAACAGGTGAGACTACTCTCTCAACACTAATGAATACCAGCTTTCCTAGTCCTCCTCTTATCAGTCGATGAGCAAACCAAATGCATATAAATCCTATCAATCATTCAGAATCATCTCCAACAACCTACCCACCAGTGAAGTCAGGCTCATAGGCCTATAGCTCCCAAACTCCTTCTTACATCCCTTCTTAAACAAAGGCACAACATTAGCCACTCTCCAGTCATCTGGCATCTCGCCCATAGTTATAGACGTTACAAATATTTCTGCAAGGGTCACCGTAATTTCCTTCCTAACTTCTGACAATATCCTGGGATACATCAGATCAGGTCCTGAAGATTTATCACGGTTATATTTTCTAGGACCTCCATGACTTCCTTTTCTGTAATGTGAATCATATTCAAAACCTCAAGATTTAATTTCTTAATTTCTTTCTAAACATAAAAAGTGACGCAAAATAGATTTAATATCTCTTCCATCTCCAGTGGTTCAACACAGGTCCTTGGGAGCTGATCACTGTATCCTAGAACTTTGTGGGAAGTTGGGAAGTGATTGCTGGGACCCTTGCTGAGATATCTGTATCATCGATAGGCATGGATCAGGTGCTGGAAGACTGGAGGTTGGCTATTGTGGTGCTATGATTTAAGAAAGGTGGTAAGCAAAAGCCAGGCAACAATAGACCAGTGACTACAACGTCAATGGTTTCTAAGTTGATGGAGGAGTTCGGAGGGACAGGATTTACATGTAATTGGAAAGGCAAGGAATGATTAGGGACCGTCAACACGGCATTGTGCATGGGAAACTGAGTCTCACTAACTTGATTGTCACTTCTTCAAAAACCTCAAAGCAAATTAAAGAAGGCAGTGCGGTGGATGCTATTTATATGGACTTTAGCAAGGCTTTCAACAATGTTCCACATGGTAGACTGGTTAGCAAGGTTAGATCAAATGGAAAGCCAGGAGAACTAGCCATTTGGATACAAAATTGGCTTGACAGCAGGAGACAGAGGGTGGTGGTGGAGGGTCGCTTTTCAGAATGGAGGCCTGTGACCAACATTGTGCCACAAGGATTGGTGCTGGATCCACTGCTTCTTGTCATTTATGTAAATGATGTGGAAGTGAATGTAGAAGGAATAGTTAGTAAATTTGCAGATGACACCAAAATTGGTAGTGTAGTGGACAGCCAAGAAGGTTATCTCAGAGTACAACGAGCCCATGATCAGATGGGCCAATGGGCTAAGGAGTGGCAGATGGGGTCTAATTCAGACAAATGTGAAGTGCTGCATTTTGGCAAGGCAAATCAGTGCAAGAGTCCTACACTTAATGGTAAGGTCCTGGGGAGTGTTGCCAAACAATGAACCTGCACTCCAAGGTCTCATTGTTCGTTGAAAGTGGAGTCGCAAGTAGACAGGGTAGTGAAGGAGGCATTATGGTACGCTTGCCTTTATTGGTCCAGCACATCGCGGATAGGAGTTGGGAGGTCATGTTGTGGCTGTACAGGACATTGGTTAGGCCACTGTTGGAATACTGTGTTCAATTCTGGTCTCCCTGCTATAGGAAAGATATTGTGGAACTTGAAAGGGTTCAGAAAAGATTTATAAGGATTTTGTCAGGGTTGGAGGGTTTGATCAAATGGGAGAGGCTGAATAGGCTGGGGCTATTTTCTCTGGAGTGTCAGAGGCCGAGGGGTGACCTTATTGAAGTTTATAAAATCATGAGGGATATAGATAAGGTGAATAACCAAAATCTTTTGCCCAGTGTAGGGGACTCCAAAACTAAAGGGCATAAGGTTAAGGTGAGAGAGGAAAAGGTGTAAAAGGGACCTGAGGGGCAGTTTTTTCAAGCAGAGGGTGGTGTGTGTATGGTATGAGCTGCCAGAGGAAGTGATGAAGGCAGTTACAATTACAACATTTAAAAGGCATCTGGATGGGTATATGAATAGGAATGGTTCAGGGGAATATGGGCCAAATGCTGGCAACTCTCTGATTAAAAAAGAAATCTCACTCCAGAGCCAGCCATGTGTAGGCCTCTTCAAATGCTGCATAAACATAACTCTGTTTAAAAAAACTCTCCTCCACAATTTAGAAAATCTCTTCAGCGATGTTAAAACAAAAAATCTGCTTCTACGTGTATAGCCAAATCTAGGTCCATATCAAAAGCAGCAGTGGCCTCAATACTGACCTCAGGAAAATAACCACTTATACCTCCCTTCACCCAAGGGAAAAAAAAAGCACCATTCAATTTTCTGTCTCAGCCAGTTTTGTGAAGACAACTGCAAACAGCAAGTATCTTAACCATCTTAACCTTGTGCAATAAAGTCTCTTTTGGGTCCTCGATTGACCTTCCGCCCTCATCTATTTTGTTGAATTTTTATGAAAGATTTTAGGATTCCCTTTCATCTTGTCTGTTAATCAGTTGTTTGATCTTCATGTTCTACATTCTGCTCAATTCTTAACTCATAACTTTCCCAACTCCAATTGTTTTATCATCTATATCTTTAGATATCCAGCAAGCTCCAACTTTCAAATGACCTTTCTCTTCCTCTCTGCTCATTTACTATTTTACCTTCGAAAACAACAACAAAAACAAAGTTGCTGGAAAAGCTCAGCAGGTCTGGCAGCATCTGTGTAGGAAAAGATGCTGCCAGACCTGCTGAGCTTCTCCAGCAACGTTGTTTTTGTTCCTGATTCACAGCATCCTCAGTTCTTTCGGTTTTTATTTACTATTTTACCTTGTTTCCAATCGCCTGAATTAGATACCTATCCAACTCTCAGAAATTAGAAATCATCCAGTTGAATATCTTCAGCCTCATCTTTTTCGATAACTTCTAATTCTAAACTAATCAGCAACTATTTAATGCCTTTTCCACCCTTGGGACATTTCAGTGTATTTCACAACCTTAAGTCACCGTTGTAATGTAGGAATTGCAGGAGCCCATTTGCAAGCAGCAGGGTCACACAAAGTGAGATAGAAGAATTGCTATTTTCTTTTTATATTACAATATTGGTTGAAACAGAGAATAATCAGGATAATCATGAACATTTTGTCTTTTTATCTTGTGCTACGAGAACTTTTACATCAATAAATGCTGCCTAGCCAACAACGTCCTCATCCTGTTAATGAATAAAGAAAAAAAAAATCAATCCAAGGTGGTGAATCAGGGCCTCCGTTTGTCATTTCCATTGGGAAGGTGGTACCTTGACACACCTTCAATACTAAAACTTCAGACTCGATTATACGGTCAACTCTGTTCAGGAACATTTGAACCGACTATCTTTTGACCTGGGGAGGAATGCTTACATTGAACCAAAGCAGACACCTTAATGACGACAAATTCACAGTAAACTGGCAGATGGAGGCAGTCACTTACATGTACAAATCCTGTGTACTTTTTATCTATTTCCACCAGCTGTTGATCTGATTTGTTGCGCATTGCTGATTCTGGGTCTGTTCCAATGGCAATCAAATATGGCACACACTGTCCAAAGGAAACAAACAAGGACATGAAAAAGAAGCACTTATAAATCATGCAAACTGGTGTGCAATCTCCATAATACTAGAAAGTGGAGACTCTTAATCCACTAGTGTCTGTACACGGTACAGTTACCGAAAAGTTAGACAAACCACCATTGCTGTTACAACGGGACAGAAGCAGTGATAGAACACTCACCAGTGCCTAAATGAGAGAAGAACTTCAGTGGAACTTACAACCATCTCGAACAGTGTCATTTGATTGGCCAGCACTCAGTGCACTAACCATGCAGCTATTGCACAATATCATTACACCTAAAAACTACATGGTAGCCCCTCTCAAAGATTATTTCAATAGCAACAACCTGCCTTGTCACCTCCACAGGAACACAGTAACTTCTAGGTCTGCCTTGAATTGGACACATATTGTTGCCATTCCACTCTCTTTGCTTGGTCAGTATTGTAGATATATCACCGTTATATCAGCACGAAGGTGGTGGCAGCAGCTCAAGAACGTTCTTCCTATGTCTTATAGTCTCATGATCAGCATGGGAAGCAAGGGTTATGGGGAAAAGGCAGGAAAGAAGAGTTAAGGATTAAGAGTTCAGCCATGATTTTATTGAACTGCAGAGCAGATTTGAGGGGCTGAATGGCCTACTTCTGCTTCTACATATTATGGTCCAAGATTCACATCATTTTAGTGCAAATAGGGGTAAGCAAAAACATGCTGGGGGACAGGGAGACCTCCCCTGTTTAAGTGGGCTGCCTCATACATTGATGTCTAGAGATCGGAGCAATGGCAGTACAGATGACACTAAACCACAATAAATGGTGCTGTAAACTGATTCAACACTCGGCAGTGTTGCTGAATTGCAAAGTAATTGCAATACATTTGAGGTTTCTGCAAAAACAACATCACGCAGAACCTTCAACAACGTTCTTCAACTTATTTAGGGCAGATATTTTCGATTGGTTATAATGAATTAATCACAATTTTCTTTGAAACAAAGAATTTTTCAAATAGGAAAATCTGACTTCAAAAGAAATCCTGACAGAAATTATGGTTATCAGAAAAAGCACTTAGCAGCATGCTCAAAAAGAGTTATGAAATGGAATGGTTGCAAGAATGTTTAAACATGCTCTAAACATTTAATGTACATGAAATGGTAAAACAAAATACAATGATCACTAATGTCAACATATAAACACAACTTACTTGGACAGGGTGGACCAATCCCTGGTTTAGCGTCAGAGCAATAACATTAAGTGCAAAGTGGCGCACAGGAGAGTGCGTGTGGAAAAAAGCTTCCAGAACCTGTTTGAGGTAGAGCTGCATGATGGAACTGCTCATCCCTGAGGAAATATCACCCATCTCCTTTAGATCTTCCTGTTTTGACACCTTCTTCCCTGTGAGAAAAGAAAGAGTTAATTCTACATAGTACCTCATTGTGCTCCTCAAGAACATAATAACTAGGAGTAGATCTGTTGACCAATTCCACCATTTAATATGACAGCTGATTTTGGGCTTCAACTTCACTTTCCTGCCTGCTCTCAAAATCCCTCAATTCCCCGAGGCAGCAAAAAATATCCAACCACGAATTATATGAATTCAACTATCCTTTCACCTAAGATTGCAACATGCACCCTCCATCTCCTGTGGTTACATCTTTGGCAAAACGTCTCTCCCATTCACACACATCATATTTGCTCATTCTCCAAAGGTTGTATTCCAGTTCAGTCAAAGACCAGGCTAATATTTGCCTAGAATATGCCAGTTTAGAATTTAGTATTTTCAAAAAGTTATGAAGTCATAGGATGTGGGCATCACTGGTTGGGCCAGCATGAAATGCCCATTCCCAATTGAGAAGATGGTGATCAGCTGCCATCTTGAACTGGTGCACCCTTCGGGGTACACCACAATGTTGTTACAAAGGGAATTCCAGGAATCTTGTCCATTGACAGTGAAGGAACATTGATTTAAATACAAATCAAACTGGTGAGTGGCTTTGGAGAAGAACTCACAAGTGGTGGTGTTCCAATTTGTATTCTAGAGGGAGCCTTAACAAGATGGTATGGGGCACCTTATAGATGATGTACACCTGCTGCCATATGTGTTGGAGTTGGAGGGTGTGAGCATTGAAGGAGTTAGATGGGGTCAAGCAGGCTGCTTTGTCCTGGATGGTACCAAGGTGTTTGAGTGTTGTTGGCCAGAATTTTTCTGGCCATGTCAGAATCTACAACTGGAGAAACAGCTCTATTTCTTCTCTGTTCATTATTTCTTTATTTAACTCTGCCAAACAGCCTTGCATGTTTCTTTTTCTTTTGGTCTTAATAAGTCAGTTCAGCAGCAGCACTACTGATTGAGCTAGTTGAGCCCTAAACTATGTAACTGGTAGAATGGGACTACAGGTTAGTCTGAGGAACAAACAAGATGGAAAAACGCACTTGACCTCATCCTCACCTAACTGCCTTCTGCAGAGGCATCTGTCCATGGACAGTATTGGTAAGAATGACCACTGCATGGTTCTCATGGAGATAAAGTCCCATCTTCTCAATAATACTCTGCGTTGTGGTGTATGGCACTTTCACCATGCTAAATGGGACAGACTTTGAACAGATCTGGCAATTCAACTGTGGGTGACCAGCAGCAATGGAACTGTACTCCAAAACAATCCACCACCTCTTGGCCCAGCATAATCACCATCAAGCCAGGGGATCAATCCTGGTTCAAATGAAGACTGCAGGAAGGCATGCCAGGATTCAAACCTGGGTCCCCATTTCATTACCTGGGACTCTGGAGTTACAGTCCCGTGCTGATACTACTAGGTTGTCAGCTCACCACCAACAGTGCTATCAAACAGCACCTACTCAGCAATAAACTGTTGACTGACACCCAGTTTGGGTTCTGCTAGGGCCACTAAGCTTCTGACCATATTACTGCTTTGGTTCATACATGGACAAAAGAACTAAATTCCAGAAGTGAGGTGACAGTAACAGCCCTCCACATCAAGGCTGCATTCGACCGAATGTGGCATCAGGATCCCTAGCAAAACTGCAATCAATGGGTTTCGGGCGCAAACTTTCTGGTGGTTGAAGTCATACCTGGTACACAGGAAAAATCAAAAAACAATGCTGCACAGGACCAAGCCTTTTGGCTCTCCAAACCTGTGCCGACACATTTTGCCATTTCATACTAAAACTGTCTTCACTTACACAATCTATATCTCTGTATTCTCTTCCTAATCGTGTATTCGTCAGGGTGCTTCCTGAATCCTGCTATTTTGTGTCTACTTCCACCAGCTCCTTTGCAACACGTTCCAGGCACTCACCACCTTTTGTGTGACTAACTTGCTTCACATATCTCTTTTAAACACCCCCCGCCCCCCACAATTGAACCTATGTCCCCTAGTAATTGACCCCTCCACCCTGGGAGAAAGCCTGATACTTTCCACTCTATACGTGCTATTCACAATCTTATAAACTTCTATCAGGTCACCCCTCAACTTCCTATGTTCCAGTGAAAACAAACCCAGTCTTATCCAACCTTTCCTCATAGCTGAAATCCCCCAAAACATCCTGGTAAACCTTTTCTGTACCCTCTCCAAAGCAGCCACATCCTTCTGGTAGTGTGGTGACCAGAACTGTATGCAATATTCCAAGTGTGGCCAAACTAAAGTTCTGTAAAGCTGCAGCATAATTGGTCTATCCTTATACTCAATGCCCCTTCCAATGAAGACAAGCATGCCATAAGCCTTTTTTTTTTTTAACTACCTTATCTACCTGCACTGCCACCTTCAGTGATTTGTAGACCTGCACACCCAGATCCCTCTGCATATCAGCACTCAAAGGTTCTGCCATTCACTGTATAATTTCCATCTGTACTTGAACTTCAAAAATGCATCATCTCACATTTGCCCGGATTAACTCAATCTGCTATTTTCCTGCCCATGCCTCCAACTGTTCTATATTTTGTTGTATCCTCTAAGAATCCTCCTCAATATCTGCAACTCCACCAATCTTTGTATCGTCCACAAACTTACTAATTAGACCAGCTATGTTTTCCTCCAAATCATTTCTGTAGACCACGAACAACAGAGGTCCTAGCACTGGTCCCTGTGAAACACTACTAGTCACAACTCTCCATTCTGAAAAGCATCCTTCCATCACTACCCTCTGTCTCCTATGGCTAAGCCAGTTCTGTATCCATCTTGCTGGCTCACTCTGATACCATGTGACTTCACCTTTTGTACCAGTCTGCCATAAGGGACCTGGTTAAAGGTTTTACTGAAGTCGATGTAGACAACATCAACCGCTTTTCCCTCATCAATCATCTTTGTCACCTCCTCAAAAAACTTGATCAAGTTAGTGTGTCACGACCTCCCCTGTGCAAAACCAAGCGGTCTGTGGCTAATAAGTCCATTTGCTTTTAAATGCATGCAGATCTTGACCCTGAGAATCTTTTCCAATAATTTCCCTACCATTACCAGGCTCCCAGGCCTGTAATTTCCAGGATTATCCCTGCTACCCTTCTTAAGCAATGGGACAACACTGGCTATTCTCCAGTCCCCTGGCGCCTCACCTGTGGCCAAAGAAGATACAAAGATGTCTGTCAATGCTCCAGCAATTTGTTCTCTTGCCTCCCTAAATATTCTGGGATAGATCCCATTGGTACCCAGGGACTTATCTACCTTAATGTTTTTTTAAGACACACAACATCTCTTACTTTTTAATAGCAACTTGGCTGAGAAATGCGACATTCCCTTCCCTGAGATCGTTATTCTGTCTCTGTCCCTTGTTCGGTGAGCCACACTGGTTTGGTTTCCCATTGTTGACATTGAGATTGATTGCTTTATTTTCAGTTTCTACCAGATTATTGTGCAGAGGAATGCAATGGTTCACAATAAGTGCTGGACAAACTATCTCAGTGGGTTTAAGCCCTCTCAACCTGACTGGCCATACATCAGTCTCCAGATCCCATGGAATTTCTCTGAAGAAATCGCAGTCAACATCGGAGATGGACAGGAGACTGATGGATACAAGAATGTCGCACTGGAGCTGGACGTGGAATACACAGTCACCCTGAGAGTGGTCACCAAGTGGGATGGGGTAAATCAAACAGGAGTGTGGGGGTGGGGATAGAGCGGCTGTGGGGAGGGTTTCAGGGATCACAGTAGTTTGTGAGTGTTTCAGTGTGGTGCAGGTGGGAGGTGGGACTGGGACATTGTGGCACAGTGTGTGGAAGGGGAGTTCAGCTTCAGGGAAAAGGAGATTGTGTTCTGATCTGTCTGGGGAAACGGACTGTGATATTCTCAATTGCAAACCTGAACAATGACAAGCTCCATTTCATCCCTCTATCAGGAAACCAAGTTCTGGTGTTCAACATCCAGCCAGATTCACAGTGAGTATCAAATCTCCCATCTCATTCAGGACGTATTTAATATTCCTCTGACTCAAACTGGTCATGACGATAGTGTTCATGGGGATGGAGGGGATGGGGAAAGATCCAGGACAAGTGGGAGGCAATCTCCAACATTTCCCAGGGTTGGGAGCTCCAAATACTGGGGGGCCAGCTCTGGCAGCACCCCCTGGAACTGCCCTGCTGCTAGGCCACAGGCCCAGGACCACCCTTATGCCCTTGTTGGTGCGTGGTCTGTGCAAAGAATTAAAGTGCCAATGAGTAGCTAATTTTCAAGCAGTGGCATTGCCAGCATTGAGAGATGCTCAAGCAGAATTCTGCCCCCATGATGAAAACACTCAATACGAACATTTCGTGCTAATTGTGTAAACTCAAACTGTACATTAAAGTACCTGCCTGCAGGAACTAAGGTTCTGAAATTAGGGTTGGTTTGTAACTTGAAGAGATTTTGAGCAGACCAGAAGAAACTTCTGCAGAAGGGTGTCACAGTGTGGAATTCACTTCTCATGTTCACAATTTAAACATAAACTGCTTCAAGACTCAGTGGGAGAGGGGATTGGAGGAAAACTTGCTGAAGTGATTTGAGAATATGGGGGTGAATATGAGGAGCAGTGTATCGGTGCTGTAACAGAGAGGCAGTGTGTCCGTGCTGTAATAGAGGGGCAGTGTGACTGTGCTGTAACAGAGGGGCAGTGTGACTGTGCTGTAAGAGAGGGGCAGTGTGTCTGTGCTGTAATAGAGGGGCAGTGTGTCCGTGCTGTAACAGAAAGGCAGTGTGCCAGTGCTGTAATAGAGGGGCAGCGTGCCCATGCTGTAACAGAAGCGCAGTGTGTCCGTGCTCTAACTCAGGGGCTGTGTGTCCGTGCTCTAACTCAGGGGCTGTGTGCCTGTGCTGTAATAGAGGGGCAGTGTGTCCGTGCTGTAACAGAGGGGCAGTGTGTCGGTGCTGTAACAGAGGGGCAGTGTGTCGGTGCTGTAACTTAGGGACAGT